AAGGCCAAGACACCAGGTTCATTGCCTTTCAGGAACAATCAAAATTTCCAGCATTGGGTCAAGTGAGAGTCAGCATGTACAAAAAAAAGGCAAGTTTATCCCTGAACCTTAGGTCACTCTTACTTGTATTGTTGTATTGCATAGCCTTGTGTTATTTTCGTGGTGGTTATGATTAATGTTGGCTTGTTCCACAGAATTTTCGCCCTGACATTTATTGGTGAACCTTGAAGTGAACTCGACTGCACAGCAAAGCCTATAGCTAAATTCAGGACTTGGTCCAGTTTTTTTTCTCTTCTTCTTCTTTTTTTTTTTTTTTGAAGGCTGGTATTTAAAGCTAAAGTGTGTATTTTCTTCAGTGATAAAATACTTTCTCCTATCAAAACATTTGCTGAATTTGGAACCACATACCTTCGTACTATACTCATACTATTTCTGCCATAGACAGATGCTAAAAGAGTATAATAGTATGTTGTTCTGAATTCAGCAATTGCTTAAATCTTATTCAATATTTGAACCAATGGTATGAGTTTGGGGCAAGACTATCTGTTTTTCTGACCAATGGCAGATCGGGGGAGTGTTTGGGAAACCAATTTCTTGTGGCAAAGAAACCATAATTAAATATATAAGTGACCATGGAAGAGCAACAAGCCCGGACATGTTGCGGCACTTTGGTTTAAGGGCTTGAAATTGGGCAGGCGACATGTGGACAAAGAGACACAACCCTGTCAAAAATCTGTTATCAATCAGAAAACATTTCGGTGACGCTTCCTTTTCCAGTCATTTTACCATGTATATACTATGTACTTATTATAGTAATTACAATTACTGGGTAACAACTAGGTACTTACCCTGAACCTACCCCTAACCCATGTACTTACCTTAAATTAGCCAGTACTTTCTAGGTATAGTGCACTGTAAGTACACATACTGTACTGTAAAAGGAAGCGTTACCAAGATTTCATTTATTCACACTCCTGTTGACAAGTAATGGAAAAACAATTCCCTATATCTAGATTCAGTACACATGATGTAGTCTATGACAGCATGCAGTATGATCATGCTTATGGAGAGTGCTTGCATCAGGTTATTGTATTGATGTACTGGGGCTAAATAAGCATTTTGTTGACACAGTTTGTCATAACACATGTCATCCGTGGCTGGGTCCTGCTGAAGGACTCATTAGTTACACATACACACAGCTCTCTGATATATGCGCCTGTTATTTCAAATGCATTATTTATTTTTGTACCTGAAAATAGAGAAGAATGAGATGCATTTATTTAGCTTGGAGGATCAACCCAAGGTTGGTGCTAATGGAGAATTTAATTATGTTGTGAAAGGTTTCCCTGCAGGGTGAACTCTGTCAGCGTTGTGTTGTGTAGTCAAACTCCCACCGCCTGATTCCCACAGAACAAGTCAGTGGCATATTGCTGCCGGAAACCTCTTTGAGGAGTAATTCTTTGTCCCTAAAGAGGAATTTTAATTTAACACAAAAGCACATGCATAAGCAATGGCAGCAGAGATGGTTGAATCTTTATGGTGATACTGTGTAATCACAGATACTGATGTGGGAATACTGTGCATATGTGGTGCATGTTGAAAAATGACAAAGTGGGGGAGGGGCTGGTCTTGCAAGTTGCGTCTTATTTATATAATAAGGTTTATAATTAACGGTTACGTTTGTAGTGGTGTTAGGTTGTCATAGCATCACCAAAGGAATTGCAAAAAATAGTTGTTTTCAAACAGGTTTCCCTAAAAGCTTCAGGCATGTTTTTTTTTTAATCAACACTTAAATGTGGGAAAGTTTCATTAAAAAGACAAACAGAAGGTGCGTAATAGCGCCCGTATATGACTGTGAAAACATGGATTGCCGGAATATTTTGCCAAGCGTTGTCATAAATGACAAAAAGAAAATAAAAACATTCCATTAATGTACGGAAAAGAGAAAAGGTTTGTCAAATTAATAATTTTCACACCAAGTTCATAATGGTGAATAATGTGGGTATATGGCGTAGCCGTAGAGTCTGATTTTAATAAATTACCCAGAGTTATTATCATGACTGATATGCTCAATTTGCTTGTTTGTTTACAATCAATTTAGTATGCTTGGATTATACTTGTAATGAGACAAAACTCCAAAACAGTAATTTGCACCAAATTTCACTTAAACAGAATGTCTTTGCACTTTTTTTCCACTCTTTCCCATACTGATCTCTCACTCACTCATGCATTTCATCAGTGTACTAATTGTCTCTCATTAATTTCTTGCCACACTGATTAATCAGTGCAGAGACGACATGGAAAATAGCATATGCAAATAGTTAATAGTCTCTTTTTGAATATCTGAATAGTTAACGACATGGAGAGTTAGTTGTCAGCCTCTGAGTAAATCTAAGGAAGAAAATGAATTAGAATAATAACAGACTGTTACAGAATCTATGGTTTCTTTTCCACAGTTACAGCGAGATGATGGCGTTTATAGACTCCTGAAAGAGAGAGTCTGAGCTCTAAAGCAATATGCTAAATTTGGATATTTGATAGAAATGATCCGTTCTCATAATGAGAAAGTCTTCTTTTTCAATTAGACTTCTTTGTGGCATTGTCATTGAGCACCTGCAGTGAATAGATGGTTGACAGGGTGTTTCGCCATGTGCTCAATACGAAGATAAGATGCTTTGGGGGTTGTGAATGGGAGCGTGAGTCCGATATTGTGTTTTTGCTCACACATAATACCCTGAAGAATCTTTTTTGATTGCTTGACACTTCCCAGGTGGGATTTCACTATGTTATGATGATCTCATACTTTTATTCCTTTTGGATTCACGGTGTTAAGAAACTCATAGTGTGCATGACTCCCTTACAAATGCGCCATATAAAAGACTACTAGCGTTTTTTCATTGGGCTTTTATTGTTATTTAGATCCTTTGTTACCACTGTCAGTTTTCCAAACAAGCGTTGGCACATTTTGGGTTGACGTAATGCTGTTTGTGTGTGCATCTGCCTGTAGCTATTGCATTTTCCACTGGCCAAGAGGTTCTCATCCAATTCTTATCTCACATGCCACATGTGTCAAACACACACACACACACATGCAGTCTTATCACTTCTCTGTGCTTATCTCACCTGTGCAAAAGCATTCAGTTGGGAGAAAATAAACAAGCCTCTAGATATGTGTCACCTGACGAGAACTGACCCAAATATGACAGCTCTGACAATAAACACACACATTTTACCCTCCACCACTGATGTTAGCTGTGATTCTGTCCTCCACTTCAGCATTCAGATGTACTACATGGTCCTCGTGAGCCAGGGCTGGTATTATAAGTCTTAAATCAATATGACGGGTCTGAGGTGACTGTGGTACGTTCCAGCTCCAGACCTTGTTATCAAACCCAGTTGGCACTTGACCTTTTCAGAGTCATGTATTGAGGAGGAATGTGGAGGTGGATTGGTGAAGCTTTGTTGGGGAGCGACGGCCACATTTCATTGACGTTAATGACCTTTAAATTCATATCGCTGGGATCAACGTTCCCCAACATGAACTTCAGAGTTTCTTCACCTGCTAATCTTTTAGACAAAATATAGAAATCAATTGGCTGTTTCTGCTCTGGTGGCTATTCATCGACTATGCCTGATTTTATACCACTTTCATTGGAAGTAACAACTGTTATGTGAATAAAAGAAGTAGCCAGCCTTGAATTTTCAGTTAAGTTTTTGCGTAAAGTCCAGTAATTTGAGTGACTTCGTTATGTATCTTAAGAGTTATATCTCAGTTGGTATCTTAGTATATTATTTTGTTGGTGTAATGTTTTGGTTTCCTTTATTTCTTCACCAGACCTTTTGGTTTGTGCCCAACATTTAACTTTAACCAAACACAAGTATCATTCTCAGAGTTGAGGATCACATCTGTTGAGTTTGCACTGTTCGATGGTTCCCTAGGTGCCGCCGGATTAATTGGCCCATCTGGTGAGATCCAACTTGCTCTTCAGTCTTTCCGTAAGAAACAGTGCAGGATGAAAGTGTGACTTGATGAATGCCTGAGAGCAAAGGTTCCTGTCATGTTGTGTTGAATGTTGAGGTCGCTAGACAGCAGTTGTACCTGACAGCCTGAGGTGCCAAATGCTGTGCTCTCTCCTAAAACAAAAGAAGAGATGAAAAAGGTCTAAAGGCCACCCTTTGTTGTTGGCACACACGAGCCTTGAGAAATGAGGATAAGGAATCTTGCATAATTAGACTAGTTTCTTGTTCTGCCTCACAGGAACCACATAGCTTAAGGATAACTGCTCAGTCTAAAATAAATCATGTGCACTTGCACTCTCACCGTGGACAATGTGACCTATTTTTTTATTAGCTGATGGACCCAAAATAAGTTAACCTGTACATTTAAATCTTATTGCATTGCGTTGCAAAATACTAAGGCTTTTTGGGGACCAAATACATGTTTGATATACCTGACAGTTTTTTATATATCTTTTATCTGGTTTATCTCTTCTCTTTCTGTTCTAGTTCTGACACACTTTGACTAATTTCTAACTTTTCATTGATTTTTGTTGGGTTTGTGGATCAGTAAAGTAAAAAATATTTTTCAGCAGTGGCATTTTGGGCATTGACGTGTCATTTATATCGCAGACCTACAGCATAAAGGTAAAGGGGTTTGTGTGTTCCCTTGGGTATGATTCTGTCTAAAATAAATGGTTGAAAGGCTGGTATTTTAAGCTTATAACAAGCTCATTTAATTGGTCTGGCAGTGAACCTGCTGATGCGGGTGAGTGAATTCTGATGGGGCGGCTTTGACAGGTGTCAGATGTCACAATTATTACGCAGAGTGTTTGGTCACTTATGAAATCCACATATCAGAGCTACATACACAAGCTTATTGAAGAATCTGGAACTATCTTGAAAAAAACATTCACTTATGAAAAAAAAAAACAATATAATGAGTTTTTAAAAATGGGATGGAATAGTGAATAAATCTATTTGTGGTTTTCTCTTCTCTTTAGGTGAATGGACGTGAATTTTCAAAGTCTGGACATGAGGGAACGGTGGAGGCCATGCGAAAGGAACCAATTGTGGTGCAGGTGCTGAGGCGGGGATCCTCCGGCCGGAACCAGAACAGCCTACAGGAAGTGTGTGTGGTGGACGTGTGTACTCAGACGGACATCACCTTTGAGCACATTATGGCTCTGGCAAAGATGAGACCCACTACCCCGCCTGTGCCAGACATTTGCCCATTCCTGCTGTCGGACAGGTACAGTATGCTGCCAACACTGATAATTACATTTAGATACAGAACTAATCCATTCCTGTTAAGTTAATTGTCCTATTTATAGTAGTATATATGAAGAGTTCAGATGCAAAAGCCTCTAAGTGCCATTTGAAATTTTTTTCTAGAATGATCATTTTTATCCAGCTTGTATATTTAAGTTCAGTGATTTCACTTAAATGGCAATGATGATAATCACCTATTGTTATTTAAGTGAAATTACTGAACTTAAATATACAAGTTTGATAAAAATCATCATTAAAGAAGAAAATGTCAAATGGCATTTAGAGGCTTTTGCATCTGAACTCTTCATATATATATATATATATATATATATATATACACACACACACATCATTTATTTATTTCAGTTATTTTTTATTTACTTAGCCAGATGACTATGCATACTAACATCAGATGTTATTATCAAATATTTCTTCATTACCAGGCAACAGCCATAACCCGCATCCCCAACCCCCCAACACGAAATAACCCCCACTGCTGTCATAAAAGTCGCGCCAGGGCCTATGTGTAATTATTGTAGTGGCTTCCCTTATCCATTTCCTGTAATGAGTAGTATACATGGTGATTAAAACCTAATGGAGTGCTAAAATATCAAACATGCTGGCACAGAGGTTTCTCTTGGTGTTTAATGCCCTTTTACAGCTTTTCAACTGTGTGAGTTTGTCCAATAAGACTTGTGTCTGGGGATGATAGGCCACATCTGATTATTTGGCTCCTTATGCATGTGCTTTGCTTTGGGTTTATTTATGCTGCTAATCTGTTTGTCTGGCTACAACTCAGCAAAATCAAAGATTCAGCTCATTTGTGTGTGTGTGTGTGTGTGTGTGTATGTGCTTTGCACAGATTTCTTAGGATCTTGGAACAGCATTTGCAATTGTACCCCAGCATGATGTGATGTTAACAGATTAATGAGTATTGTTTGTAATTACATGCTTGCCCAGACTACAAACAAATTCTGTTATCTTCTTAGAAGTGTAACGGGTCTGTAGTTCTGCAAATATAATTGCAGAAATAAAGCTTAGCCTAGTCCATAAAGTTCATTTCTCTTGTTCTCTCTTTCTCTAGTTGTCATTCCATTCAGACTATGGAGCATGAATATTATGATTGTCCAGAATATGTGGCCAGCAATCAGGCAGAAGTGGACAGGGCAGTTGAATTCGAGTGTGAGGTAAGTGAAGGGAAAATGCTTTTTTTTTAAAGTGATACACACCTGGTGTTAACAATCATCTCGGGTGATCCGATGACAAATGGTCAGCCAAGGCATTTACAAACAAACCCTGATGGCATGATTAAATACACTCTAAAAAATGCTGGGCTGTTTTAACCCAATTTTGGGTCAAATATGGACAAACCCGAAATGTTGGGTTAAAAATGTAATGTAAAAATTTAACCCAACGGCTGGGTTAGTCCATATTTGACCCAAAGTTGGGTTAAAACAACCCAGCATTTTTTAGAGTGTACATCACATTATACAGTATACATTAATGCACACACAAAATAGTTTTACATTTTGACAAATATTGATATTCAATATTGCATGCTTTACCTAATTTACAATTATTCATTTTATCAGTAACACTTCACAATAAAGTCTCATTTGTTCGTAAAATCCGTTAAGCCATTATAAACTAGAACAATGAGCAAGATATTCTCAGAGCATTTGTTCATCTTTTTTAGTTAATAAAGCAAATCATGTTCTTGTTAGTTTACTGACAGATACAACTTTTGATCTAAATATGTATTAGTAAATGTTGAGATTAATGCAGTATCTATGTATTGTTCAAGTTAATGTTAACTAATGTAGTTAATGATCTTATGTTAACAAATGAAGCTATATTGTACTGTAACATTTTTTATAAATAAAATATACTAAATTAAAATAGAGTTATATGATCAAATGATGTATTTGATTCAATTAATTATGAAACTTTAAAAATAAGAGTTTCAAAAAGGCAGATTCCGTCACTATTAATGAGTTAAAGTAGCATGTTACAGCAGGAGAGCTTTCAAACATGCCTTTTTTTTTCTTTTGGCTAATAAACAGGGGCATTAGACTCACTCCACTGAGGTGTAATTAGTTTTATTTTAGTGACATTAATGTTCTTTCCTACTGGGCCTCTTGCTCATTTTGGAAAACAAATCCATGTGTGTTAATGAATCATTAATATTTTTATGATTGTTTGAAGGTACAAAAACAGCTTGTCACCAGATGTTTCCATGAGATTTTGGGATATGTACACGCATGATGATTTTATTTAGGCGAATTAGTGACAATTTTCTTCTTGGAAACTCAAAATTGCACAGTGCAGAGGTTGCAATGTGAAGTATGCATAAGCAGTGATAAATGTCTGGATGAACTCCTTCCAATCAAGATAACTTCTGTCAATCAAATGTTTCATATCAGACCAAGAGGAAACTAACCACTTTATCTTGAATACAGAACATATCCTAGATTTATATGATCTGTAAAATGATCACTATGATTTTTCCAGTTCCATCACTTGCCGCAGTGGGTTAAGGTAGATTGTGTGGATTATTTTGCTCGGCATGTCGGTTGATCCTCTTTGAGGAGCGTGGTCTGAACAATAGACTTGCAGAAAATATGAAGTATCGCTGAGCTTATGGAGCAGATCAATGTGAAGCCGTATTAAAGCTTCTGGTGATGAATTGCATCTATTGTGCGGACTGACAGATCAGCTGAAATATGAGAAAGAGTTAGCCTTTTTATATCACACCACAGACGTTGCTGTGAGCATGTTGGTCTCGCATTTTTAGAAATTATTTACCAAATACGAACACTTGACAGTTCAGTGTATATGGTTGTGGAAGAAAATGGAAAACCCTTTATATATGGAGTAGTAAATCTGGTTAATGTGGGTGCTTTTTTTTTTTTTTTTTTTTTTTTTTTGAAGTACGATGCTAGTGCTCGGTCAGGAGCGTCGACCAATAAATGAGCCGTTTTGCTTGACTGAACTGAGACAGGTGTCAGCGGTTTGTTGAGCTGTGGCTAACTGCTCTCCTTTGGCCAGTGAATGTCTCTCGAATACAGCGCTGTCACTTGCACCATGCAGGCTTCAGTCTTGACATATAACCCCCTCAGCCTGCTTGATTGTATCATATTTCATGGTGGCCTTTTGTAGGACACATTTGTAGCCAAAGGAACTCGTCATTGTTTCATTTTATAGGGTTAGTTCATCCAAAAATGAAAATTATGTCATTAATGACTCACCCTCATGTCATTCCAAGCCCTTGAGACCTCTATTCATCTTCAGAGCACAGTGTAAGATATTTCAGATTTAGTCCGAGAGGTTTCTGTCCCTCCTTTGAAAATGTATACGATATACTGTCCTTGTCCAGAAAGGAAATACAGAAATCATCAAAGTAGTCCATGTGACACCAGTGGGTTAGTTAGAATGTTTTGAGGCATCGGAAACACATTTTGGTCCAAAAATACCAAAAACTACAACTTTATCCAGCATTGTATTCTCTTCCGGTTCTGTTGTAAACGGAAATCTTATGGGCTTGAAATGACGAAGGTGATACATTGATGACATAATTTTCATATTTGGGTGAACTAACCCTTTAATGCACAGCCAAACATTTAAGATGACTTGCTATTTGTGCTGCAGTTTAGAAGCTGGCTTTTATGTTTTAAGAAAAAAAATGTATTCTCTCTTCATAAGAAAATATATGCCTGGAAAATCAGCATAAAGGTAATGGTCTGAGCTTTGTACTGGTTTAATGTACACATTGGGAGGACCAAATGTCCCCACAAGAAGAGTAAAACCTGTATCACATACATCATGGTCCGAATGAGGGAAACGGATTAATAATCATACTAAATTACGCTCGTTTAAAAATGTAAAAATGCAAAAAGGTTTCTCTGATGGGTAGGTTTAGGGAATAGAAAATACAGTTTGTACTGTATAAAAAGTCAAAATGTCTTTGGAGACTCCTTACAAAGATAACGAAACCTAACGCGTATATGTGTGTGTGTGTGTTTTGTGTGTTTGTTACAGGAGGTTGAACTCTGTCGAATGAACAGCCAGGAAAAACTGGGCCTGACTCTTTGTTATCGTACTGATGATGAAGAAGATACAGCTATTTTTGTTGGTCAGGTGAGTATTTTATTGTATTGTAATTTATTTTATTTTAGTTTATTGATTAAAAAAAATCAAACAAATCTGGGGGGGGGGGGGGGTACTGATAAACTGTGATTAGTGTTGTAAAACTGGACATAGATGGACAATATAATAGGTAATCTCGTTGAAGTTGAACATTTTCTGAAGGTTAATCATCTTTCACAGACCAAGTGTTGAAAAGTAAAAAAAAAAAAAGACTTAGTTTCAGACTCTGTGGATTTTTTATGCAGCAGTTCAATTTAACAGACAAAGATCTACTGAAAGTGAACCGAATTATGCTTTTAGAACAAATGTTATTATGTTAATTTGGTGATCTGTGTTGAAGTCACCTGTAAGATGTGGCACTTAGCTTCAAATTTGATAAAGGCAATCAAATTAATCGGACCAAACCCTTTTTAACAACAATAAAAATTTTGTGAAAAGCAATTAAAAGATAAAAGCTGAGTTTGATCCATTCTCATTGTTCCACATCACTGTATTCCTTCACTGAAATTAAAAGTGTTTAATATGGAAAATATTCCTGTTTTCCAAAGTTCAAATGGCCGATGAAAGTCTACCAGTCAAGCATGAAGAGATCAAGTCAAGTTTGGAAAATTACTGCATACAGACAGTTCTTTTTTTCAGTGTTTTAATTACTGATTTTAATTAGTAAGAAATCACATGTCTCCTGTGGAGTGTAAAATGGCACTTTTTTCACTCTCACCACCTTGACACCTAAAGGAAAACAAAGGCTGAAAACCGGGACTGCATTTCAACAGCGAGAATTCCACTAGTTGTACAGATATTGCCTGTTCTTACACCATTTCTCGCTCAGAGATATGTAAATGTGGAGCCCCTGACATCAAACAGGAGGGAACTGCTTCTCGTTTTCGTATCATCTCCAGAAAATGTATTATAAACAACCTAGAGAAATATTCTATAAATACATGTCTGTGGAAGTAAGTTATGCTAATATTAGTCATTAAAAATGCATTTATGCATATAATGTACAGCAATGATGTTTTCAACCTCCTTCTTATGTAAATTCTTATAATGCATTAAAAATAGGGTTGTTTTAATCAGTATCCTTGTAAAAAATATACAAAATATGTAGGGAAAAAGAAAATATTCCCACATCCCATTATATATTCTGTGCAGTATTCACTTCCAATCCTTATGTTATATGGGCGCATTATGTTGCAATAGTCTGAAAGGAATAGATTTTTTTTTCTCATAATAGTACAGATATGCAAATTAATCTGTTACAATAATGAATTCTTTTTGTGACAAGTCATGAAATTATTGCTGGTGTGTTGAGATGAATTATAACAATTTGCATATTGATGCCATGTGTTTTGTACTGTTGATAGGTTGAACTCAACAGCATAGCTGCAAGGGATGGACGCATCAGAGAGGGAGACAGAATTTTACAGGTGCGATAGATTTAATCTTGTTACACACGCTCATTCACGCTTACAACCATCCTATAGATCCAGATGATGTTTTTGATAATTTATTTGGTAGATACAGCTGGTCTAAAAAGCTAAACACTTTGAATTGGATTTCTTATTGGATTTTTCTTTACTTACTTAAAACATAACATATAATATATATATTTAATAATGGATTTTCACTTGTGGTCTGAGACTTCCCTGTAGATATGTGTGTATGTGTCTGCACAAGTCTTGAACAAACAAAGTCACCCACTTAATAAACTGGATCATCATGATAAATTGCTCTCAAATAGCCGTTTTAACTGGATCTGCTTTTGCAGAATGTATAGACCAAGCCGGTGTGACATTCAGCAGAGACAGTGAGGTTAAAGGTTTGGAGAATTTCTGAGCAAAAGAAGATAAAGAAAGAGCAAGATACAAAGGACGCAAGGCACATCTGCGGATGTAACATTGAGGGAGATGAATACAGTGGTTCAGTGCACGTCTGTCTCACTCTCTCCACCCCTATTATCTTCTTTTGACAGTGCCATTACTCTATAGAAGAAAAGATGAACGGCACCTGTCAGAGGCTGCTTAATTGTGTGTCTGGGCGTGTACCACCACAACGCTTTTTATAAATGCTGTGGCTCTTGCAGCCCAGTCGACAGTCTTAGTAATCGATTCAAAGTCTCTCCTCCAGTAAATGCATAATTGACTGAAGGTAGTTATCTCATGAGGAGGGCCTAGTTTTGGTGTGTATGAAGAAATGCAATTTTGCTCCACTTCTGTCACTGATGAAGTGTGCTTCCGGTGTGAAAATCCTGACACTCTGTCATTATCTTTGTTTGTATGTAATTGTCTCTCTGTGTCCATGTTTCTTCCAGATAAATGGTCATGACGTACAGAACAGGGAAGAGGCTGTTGCTCTCCTTTCAAATGAAAATTCCAGATCCATAGTGTTACTTGTCACCAGACCTGAAGGACAGGTGAGACTAGTGGACATAGTTGCTAATCTTAACCCACATTAAAACCACAGTCTTATTTGTGTGTCTTTATTTATTTATTTTGAGCCAATCACCCGAGCCATAAATGCCATGTTCTCTAAAACCGTGTGAAATTATTATATCATTAAATGTTGATTGGCTGATGGTTAAACCCTTCAGTAGTGACTAAAGTATACTCAGTTGTGATGTCAAAGGCAGAAAACATAAATAGTCAGAAGTAACCAAAGTATATGATATTTGTATTCCACCAGATCACACACCTATTTTTGAATTGCTGTAAAAGGATAAAGATGTGGTTTGCAGCCAAATAGTGTACCATAGCATTACACAGCGCATTCTCATCCTTTTGCCTAAATTCATCGCACATGGCACCCTTTAGTGTCAATATAACACGCACAGAGCTTTGTTCGGTCATGGTAGGATTAGTTCTGGGGTAGGTTTAGTGTTACACCACTAGGAGGCGCCTTCTGGCCCATTTATATCTGCGTCTCATATTGACGCTAAAGGGTGCCATGTGCGTTGGATGTAGACGAATTGTCAAAAGTGTCAGTATATGACGCCTTGGGATGAGAACGGGCTGGATTACACTAACTGAGTCATGGTAACCAGCCAAATGGTTAATCCAGAACTGGTTAACCCTGTTGGGCTTGTCTCTCTAAGATGGATGGAAGCTGGCTTGATGAGGACCATCATGATTTTCTAGAGGAGCTGAAGATGGAGATTTTAGAAGAACAGAAAAAGGACGCAAAGTGGGTAAGTGTGACCATACTTGCCAAAAGTTCCTTTGCAAGTCTTTATGTTCTGACAGGCATTAAAGGGTTGTATCTGTTCGTGTTTTGCAGTCAAAAAGACATGAGGAAGCCTCCGCAAGTACAGATACAGCGACATGTTCCTCTTCCATTCTGGAGAAGGACAGTGGTGTGAAATGCAGCTTTGAGGAGAGTTCTGAATATGAATTTCTCTCTCATCCCCAAACACAGACTCAAAAACAACTTCGAGACAGGTGGGAAGCGGGCTCACATATGGTTCCTATGGACACCGTTAGCTTAGCCAGGCAGGAGAAGGGTCAGGAGGGCAGGCTGAGCGAGAATGGGGTGGAATGTGACCATTTCCAGCAACTCTTGGAGCTAAAGTGCCAGATCAGTAATGGTGGAGAATGCGGGTTGGTCTACAGGCGAAGTAGTACCATCGAGTGCAGCCTGACAGAACAGAGTGGAGTAACAAGGGAGCTGCACATGCTCAACGAAGAGCTGCGCAGCATTGAACTTGAGTGCCAGAGCATCATGCAAGCCCACCAGTTGCGCCGAAGCAAGCATGACTCGCCCCGAACGGATAAGGAAAGTCGACTGCGCCGTGGCAAGCTTGCAGACATTAACGAGTATCCCGAGAGACTCCAAAGTGAGAAGCTCAGAGATAAAGACAGCTCTAGTGCCTACAATACAGCCGAAAGTTCCCGCTCAACTCCACTGGGAACAGAAGGATCACCCGACCACTCGCTACAGCGTCGAGTCCACCTGACCAATCAGAGGAACTTGCGGAGTACCCAACACCTGCAGAGTCCCTACAACAGTCCCATCTTGTCTTTACCCAGCCAAAGTAGCCCGTCTTACAGTCGTGGCCATACATACACCAGCTCCACACCACCCTTACAGACCCCCATCACCAGTCCCGGTTCACAAGGACCCAGCCAGGCCTTCTCCAGCAGCTTGGAACAAAGCCCCAGTAACCCCTCGGAGTCAGACCCAGCGCTTCCTGCTGATGACGAGCGCTGCGAGAAAGAAAGAAACCGTAATAGGGTTGCAAGCGCTAGGCACTACCATTCGCCCTATCACAGCAACCCCACAACAACCCAGCCTCCCAGCACACGCCATTACCAGAGTTACCTACAGCTCCTACAACAACATTCCTCTTCCTCTCTGGAATACTCCCAGAGCCAGCTTAGCCTCCTCAGCCTCCGTGGACGGCCTGGACCCTCACAACCTGGCCGGATCGAATGGAAGGTTAAAGTGCGAGCAGACGGAACCAGGTATGTGGCACGTCGGCCCACGCGAGACCGTATCCTGCGCGAACGAGCCTTACGGATCCGGGAGGAGCGGAGCGGTGGGATGACTACTGATGACGACGCAGTGAGCGAGCTTAAGATGGGGCGGTACTGGAGTAAGGAAGAACGCAAGCAGCAGTTAGCACGCGCGAGAGAACAGCGACGCAGGAGGGAATTCATGCAGAGGAGCCGGCTTGAGTGCCTCAGGGAGACCATGGGGACGGCAAGTGGGGAGGTCAGCATCCTGGAGCTCAGCCATAAGAAGATGCTGAAGAAACGAAACAAGAAGATCCTTGACAATTGGATGACCATTCAAGAGCTCATGAGCCATGGAGCACGAGCACCCGAGGGCACCAAAGTTCACAACGCCTTCCTTTCAGTCACCACAGTTTAGTGAAGAGACCCTATGTACTTGCCTCATTCCAAGTAGCCATTTTATAAAGGTGAAAATGCTGATATTTTTCATGTTTTGTGAAAACTCATTTCAACTGAACTCAAGACTTCAAGAAATGTGAATGTTCAAAACTCTTTTGATACACTGACATGTTGACACTACCGTTACAGACCTCGCTGTGTTTTCATACTAGAATGTATAAAATGGTTTTAATAGGATTTTACACACTACATTGTCATTTAATGTAGTGTTTTCATGCATTTGTATTTTATAAATGGCAAGTTTTCATGCGATATAAAATACAGTACTTGAATTTCGGCTTTTGCTGCCATTACATCTTTTAAATCTGAAATGTAAATATCTATAACTGTTCTGAACAAGATCTTCGTGAGTAAAGGTCTTCTTTGCCGCTTAATGGGTTTACAAGAGTTGTTTGACATACCACACGATGTTACCATTTTAATGGTACTGTATACAATACGTACAATTTTTGTACTGCTCTGTATGAACATTATTTATATTTTTGAGTCTAATATGTTATTTTATTCCATCTTATAATGCCAAATGACCCAGTCTGTATCTCAGTCAAGCGCTAAACATGGAGTTTCTACCACTCTCATTGTGCCTTGTATGGAGGCTCATTTTTCTACCAGTTTGTGAAGAGACAACCTGAGTAATCTTGCTGTCATGTTTTTAGTCTTTTTTTGATGTGTAAGACATCTTTGTAGCCAGGTCTACGTGTTCTAGGTGTGCTACATGGGGTGAAAAACGATAATAAATTATTGTTATATAAGTTAAACATTTTTGTTATCCTTTCTTCTCAAATAATGGTTTCCAGATTTTCTAGTTTTGTTCAGCATACAAATATATTTGTATCTTTCGGCTTTGATTGATTACTTTTTCTTGATTGACGGATTGACCTAATTAAGCTCAAGATCAAGAACCGCATTTCTGAGATAAACTGTGATTATATCATGTGAGTCAGACAAAATTGGCATTTGTCCGCTTCACATCTCTCCGAAAATACCACCCCTGTCATTGTTAAACTGACATCCTGTCAGACAGTAGCATTAAAATCAGATCTGTTTGATTTTAAATATTAAATATGAATATAAAATATGTTCTTAGTATTTTTCTGATTTTTTTTTAACAAAAACAAAGATTTAATAAGATATTATGAAATTTACTTATTTTTGGCATAAACCTCACAAAACGATGTTACATTTATGTTTAATTGACTTTATTTTCCAGTTGTGGCAAATATACTCTCTGAAAACAAGTCCTGTGCAATTTAGCTCCTCAAGGATATTGTTTTAAGGATATTTAGACAAAACAAATGGCTCATTTTGTTGTATGACAACAAACGCTCTAAAAATTAATACATTAAGGATCAATTGATATTAAGTTGGTAATATGTGTAGATTATTTTTACGCAGACTGTTTTGAATGGATGAAAGCTGTCTGAGGCTGTCATAGGATGGTTTGTGTGTGAGGGAGGTTAGAGGCTTTTTGAAGTCTAATGTTTTTCATCTTTGGTATGAATGTGTGCTGCATTTAAATACCTGTCTGTCTCTGTTTTAAAGTGATAACACAACCGTAAATTTAATGAACGGGTGCCAAAAATCTAAGCTGCATTGAGTCACTAGAACTGATAACATTGAGTCTCCTAAAAAATTACAATATTCTAATTGTAAAAATGTCTCCACAACCACCTGTGTGATGCAGTTCTTTTGTGTTACTCGGGTGCCAACACAATTCATGACATGGGAGCTCTTGAAAATTTCAGCATGTAGAGGTGTGTTGATCCATCTTCTCATCTTGAATCATCTCCATTTGTAGTTGTCTAATCATTAAATTCCCATGTAGTTCCCATCTTGATGTTTTCAAACTTCCACCTATAAGCTGATCTGTCACTTTTATGACGTTTTCCTAATTACCAGCAACAGAAATTGCTCTCATCTTGCGTTATGGCCCTGATGTGGAAAGATATTCTCTCAGACTGAATATGGTGAAAGAATGCTGTATTATGTATGTGTGCCAGCCGTTTACCTCGTTATGGTTCTCTTTCACATTTATTTATTCATAAATGCTCATTATGTCCGACTGAGGCGAGACTTGTGAAACGGGAGAAGGGATATCAAAGCAAGTCCTTTTTTCCTCCTCTCTCTCTCTCTCTCTCTCTACTTTACTACAAGAAATAATGGAGAGTACTGCTGTCAGTTTCTGTGATGTTCACACTTCACCTAGCAGAAGAGCTTTATCTATTCTATACTTTAATAGTGCACCAAAAGCTGAAAAATTCTGTCATCATTTATACTTGCATACCCTCGGGGGAACACGGGTGTATATATCATGCGGACAACAGAGAATGTTGGCAAATATTAAATAATGAACTAAATGACTAAGTGACTGACCAATCAGATTCAAGTATTTAAGGGATCCATATAATAAATATTTTTATGTAGATATTGTTTGAAAAAAGTGTTAAAAAGTGTAAAAAAAAACAAAATGGCATACAGTTTGGGAACAATTTGAGTGTGCATGTTCAGAACATGAATTGTTGAGTCTAGACAGACCGAATACACAGTGTAGGCCTACCTAACTTCTCTCCTGATACTGTCTGATTTTCTGGTGTGTATAGTGTCACTTTCCTCTTAGCTTTTTGGTGTATTTGAGCTGAACTCAGCAGTATTTGATAGTTTTTTCACCCCTCTGCAGCCTCCTTTTGCATGCTTTTTGAAGCTCCAGCTCTCAGAGCTCTCTAAGCCCGTTGGGAAAGCAGAGACATGAGAGAGCATGACAGAAATAATGGGCTGAATCCAAAAAAACGAGGGCAGATGAACAGACAAAAGAACAGAGAGTTGACTGGGTAGGAGGAGAATTAGTGTGTCTTTTCTATATGGCCATCTGACTCTGGTTATGATGGACACAAAGGCTATAAAAATGCACATTTTTTCGGCATTTCTTAACAAGCTGCCAAACACAGAAAACCGAGTAAGAGTTTGTTAGAAATAAGAGGTGAAAAGCTGATTTTAGGTCAAACAGACAACTCAAATAATTCTACAATGTTACTACAATAATGTTTCATGATTCAATCTGGACAACAACTGTTTTCTTGTGCATCTCACTGTGAGTCTTCTGTTCTGAAACAGACAAAAACATTGTCTGGCATAACTGAAGGCTTACACTGTGAGACATCAGTGCCCATGTTGAGATTCATTGAACAACGGTTGTTAATCCCACAGTAAGCATCTGTTTGTGGATGGAGATGGAGTCAACCTGAAACTAAGGCAGTGCTCTTCCTGAACACGACAGCGACTCTAATCCTCCATGCGGCATTATGGATTCACGTTTCACATTCAGGAAAACACTGAGAACAAAAGGAATAATTTTCTGCAGGCAAGAAGATATTATTTGTACAGACAGAAGACGAGGACAGTTGTAGATCTTGGGAGGTTTAGTGACTTTATGTCACACTTAAAGGGTCCTAAAACGTAGGCAGCTGAAAAATGACCTGAAGCTATTCGTTGGGGATTTTAGCAACATGAAGGAGAGTGACTGCATGTCCAGTGACACAGAGGAAAGTTTAATTTTATGCCAGTTGCAATGCAGCAGCATTCAATATGACTTTGCATGTAGTGCAAGGCCCATTGAAAATCCATTCAGCCTCCACGCTCAGATCTCAGCAGGTGCAATCAACCCCCTCTCAGCCCCTCAGCTCTCATTGGTTTGTTAAGGTGAGGATTTTAGCACAGCAAGTTTTGGCAGTCAAAAACGTGAGCACACAGGAGGACCAGCACAGTAATAATTAGCTGAGCTGACAACATGCCAGCAGCTCTCTCTCTCTCACACACAAACACTTATCAGTCTCATTTTGTCTTCTTTTTATTCTCTTACCTCATATTCTTACTTCGATTTTGTTGTATTTCATATGCCATTTCAAGCTGGTACTCTGGAGTAGTAACACACTCATATTGATGCGTTAACCAATGTGATTGTGGTATTCTGGATCAATGCCGCTGCATCATTATTGTTCTTTTGTTTAGAACGGGTCGTGTTTTGCAGAAATGTAGCAGTTGGATGGACGTTGGTTCAGAAAGGAAACAGTAATGTTTTATGACAAAAGATCATTTCTCCCTTCCTTTACTGAAGATGCTCAGCTTTCTTCTCTAAAACGCTGCTCAGTTTAGCTGTATTGATCCAGCTCAGGTGAGAGGTTTTCTTGGCACGCCTCATAGATCCTCTCATTGTTGTCTGACTCTATTGTAGCTCGCCAGGCCTTAAAAATGCTCTTCAAAGATTTGCTCAAAACCCCAGAGAGAGCGGATGGCAACACAGAGAACATGTTTTTTTCTTTTGCTTATCCTACAAATACAGACATTATTTGTTTTCAATTTAATGAAATGAGCCTTAATGGACTTTTTGGGTCTTTTTATGAACTCAAATGTGATAAAAACACACAACCAGGTATTTCGTTACTGTAGATGAATGCATTTGGGTAGCTGATGTCCTAGGACATGCTGTGCTCCATATAAACACCATTTTGACAGCTGACTTGTTGCCTTGCAATGACTTTAAAGGCGTTTGGATGCAAAAGACTTCGGATATACGTGAAAATAACGTTAAGGACTAAGCAAATATTTAATGACAACAGTGGTAATATCTCGCTTGAAATTAAATCAAAAGTGGGAAAACGTTGATATAATTACATACAAACTGACCACCAACCGCAACTTTCAGATGCCATCTTTATTTTTTAGCTCAACTGTAATAGAATGGAAAGCACTTGTGGGATATGAAAGGCAGCGAATGATACATCTATGCTACCTTCAAAAAATCGATCATATGAAGAGACCTCAAGAGACAGGAAGGACTAACATTGGATTCAGACATGCCGTAACACCTTCCTACCTTGGAATGCATCCTCGGAAGGCAGCATTTTGAAGCTTTCGGACGCAGCCATTAAAAAAAAAAAGTATGTGAAAATGTATGTATACTTTCTTTTATTTAAATTTAAACATAAAATTTTGATATTGATTTAAAAAATAGGGCTGATTTATTCTAGTTTTTACTTTTAAAATGATTGCACTCTCTATTGCGGTGCACATTGTTCAGCTTCGCTCCCCAATATTCTGAGTGCTGGATCTAATAAGCATGAAATGGCATGTGCCAATCAGCCATATGGTGTTTCCTTTCTTCAAAGTGTTTTTGGTGCAGTAAGTGAGACTCATTTTATAAACATAAAATGGCTGGTCTTCCACTTTTTTTCTCTCTCTGTGAAAAACTTTATGGAGGTGTGAGGTCTGACTGCCCACTCCTGTTCCGACTGAGGAGCGCAGATGGCGCCCCTCACATAGAAATCCTTTTGAAATCCCTTTGAAGCCATGAAAAAAATGAAGAGCGAATGAAAATAAATTAAGAGATACACTCAAGAAGATTGAACTGGCTGATTCAGACTTTACAGGAAACAGAAGTGTGGTAGCCAGACTTTTATTGCTGAATGGAGACTGATGTTTGATATTTCACATTGTGGCTGGTTATTGACTTATTTTATCTCATTGTTTGATATGCAATCAACATTTTAGCAGAGCACCGAAAATATTAACCCTTATAGTTGCTTCTGAACTAGAAGGAATTTAATTGAAATATGGCACTTTTTTCCTAAAATAAATGCAGTGTTAAATCACTCCAAAAGTGCACAAACTGCAGGATGCATAATGCAAGAGTCAGACATGCACGTCTATGATCAATAAAAGATTCATTTGAGAAAAGGATGTGAGTGTATAAGTAAACGCCCAGCCGCTCTATGTGCCGACTAATCAGATTACCTGACAGAAAGATGAACAGTCCTACATAGAGATATTGATTCGGCTAATTAAACTCAATGAAAGTTCTGTTTGTGATTGGATTCATAACCAAAAGACAGTCGATGCAAGCAGGCCTGCAAATGAGACTTGTTGCATTGGATCCAATGTATTGAACATACTTTGGCGCCACATTACTTCGGCTCCAGACTGTTGTGCTAAGTGGAGTGTTCTTGAGTAACTTGTGTTAGGAGTGAAGATGAGATCAGTGCATGTATGCTTTGGAAAAGCTTTTATTTTAATTGAAAAAAATAAAAGAGGCTCCATGAGATGCAAACTAATGGGCAGTCGAGAGGGTCCCATCACATACTAAAACTTAAACAGGATTTATTGAATCAACAATGCCTTTTAAATTCCAATTAAATCGAATTTATCACAAACATGCAAAATCAACTTAGAGTTCTAACACTAAAGATCCGAGGTATACATTTAAGTTACACTTTTTAATGCTGTCATGCTGTGAATAATGTTATCATACACACATGGGGTATTTCCAGACATGTGATGATTTGAATATGAATAAATGTTCATATTTTTGTAATTTATATATGTATTTCTTTATTTTTACTAAATAACCTTTTATTTTATGGGCCATAATGGAAGAACACTTCATTTCCCAGAATGCTCTATTAATAGCCAAAGCTCATGTGATAAGCTACACATGTGGTACTTGACCTTGCTGGTTATAATTGCAAAAAATGGCTGCAAAAGGTTCTGAGAAAAGGCTAAGCTTCATTTGATTTTTTAAAAAAGAAGCAAAACCCAGTGAAAAGAGAAGGATTTGGCGCACACTAAGACTAATGTGTGTGTTTTGCCCCTATAATGGCCACCTGCTCCATCATGGGACTATACATAGATAAAAACAAATGTATTTGAGGGGTGGCAGACCTTCCATCATACATATAGTTTGGATATAGGTAAGTTTTCATGGTTGTTTTAGTGGATCATGCTATCCCCTACCATTTGACAACCTGTCTTTTATAAACTGTTCATCTCTTCTTCTAGCTTATAGAATGACCGTGTTTCTATGTGCCGTATAGTTTGTTCCTTATCAAATGAGAATCTGATAATGCTAGTCATACTGGTAAATGAGCCTCATAATTGATACCTGCATTTTGTTCCAGCAAGACGTTGGTTCATTACTGGCTTAAGGCAAGACGATGACTATTCCATTGCTCATTTTATTATTAGATAATGCATTAAAAGCATGAAAGCAGAGATTGTTTAACATCATAATCATTTTATGTTTCATGACCACAGGCTGTCAGAAATAAAAGAAGGTGCCTTTTTAAACTGGTTGAACGAATGGTTGAGGCGTAGACTGTTATTGTATTCAACATTTTTACTTCCTATTAGAGTAAATTAGAAAAGGTTTTTTTTCTCACTTTAAATGCCTATGCAACAACAGCCTGTAGTGCACTGCAATAATGATGATGTGCTGTTCATTAGAGTAAATGCCTTTTGAAAACAGCTGTTCACTCAAAACAATTTCAGGCCCGGGGATATATTGAAAGTCCATGAATTCTTCCACACTTTTTATCCATTTGTGTAAGTCTCGTTTCATGTAATCATTCATCTGCATAGATCTAATCTCCAGGCTTTCTTTGACCTCAATACACTGAGTGTTTCTTTCTAAGAACCAGTGAGCTTGCTGAGAGTATTGCTTGAGTAATTATTCAGGAAAAAGTGCTGTGGAAAGCAAAACCAGGCAAACATAGCAAGGCCTAGATGGAGAACTAGCGTATGTATGTGTGCGTTTGCATAAATATTGGGAAGAGACTTGCAGGGGTCCTGTGAACCGCATGTTTCTTATTCTGAATGTGATGATATTCCACCAAAACAGACTTATACTTTGACTCCACTGAGCTAGACCTGAGTGTACTTTTTACTCTTCCAACACTTGCAGTTTTGAACGGCAGACATTATTTTTCCTCTTTCCATTGTCTCAAGTGTTATCTGCCGTGATCTTTTTGAAGTACTAGAGATGGAAAGGGTCTATAAATGGGTTTTGTGAAGCAATGGCTTTGTGCCTAGTACCAGAGATTGTTTATGGAAAGTAATATATGATAATGTTCTTGGCCAGATTTTCTAGTGGTATCTGAGATGATGGGGTCATCAATACCAAACATCAATCATCTTGAACTCAAAGAAATGATTGCTATTAGTCAGCTGCGTAAGAAATGTAATATTATGCAAATGAACCCAGTCTCTTTCGTCAAAACAACTTCATGCACTATCATGATTGATTAATCTTGCTCTGTGTCTCGATATCCTCTAGACGATGCATAGAATCTCCCGAGCGTCAGGACTGTCTAGTGTTCAGCATCTGTCAGGATCGGTATTCTCCTGGCTGTACCGACACATCCAGTGAAGGACAAATTAATTAGCTTCTGCAAATGCTAACAGATGGCTTTGAAGGGCACTTGCTCTACCTCACGCGAAAGCACTTGCACAAACTCATGTAGATTTCCCCTATCGTGCATCTCGTCCGCCTCTTAAGACTCTGCCATGTGTCCACCTCGCAGAAGCCTGTGAAGTGTGTACTCAAAAAAAAAAAAAAAAAAAAATTGCCGTTGCCGTTTCACAATTCAATTTTTCAAACAAAACCCTGGTTTGCAATAATATGAACCCGGCAAAGAGGATAAGAAAGATTAATTCAACATCATTACAAAGCCCATGATTTCAACTGGTTGGAACAGAAACCAGCACGATCCGCAGCGGCCCGCTTTCACTTCCAACCGCAATTACAAATAATCAGTCCAATCAGTATGCTAATCTCTCGCGTTCAAACCGACGATTCATCAAAGTCGCTAATTCGCTGGCTGTCTTGGGTCTTTTATTTTGCCCTCTTTTCTGCAAATGTGATAACCGGTTAACATTATCAGTGCCTTATCAGGCCCAGGCCAGAACAATGGTACCAGTCCACGTCAGGATGAACTGAAAAGGTGACGGAGAAGACAGCCTTTGTGATTTTTGTCACTACGTGGCTGATAAAGAGTGTCTGTGAGGAGAATGAACAGAGAGGCCTATCAATTATGGCTCAATTGTTTCCTATTCATGTGTAATTTAATGAGTGGGGAGACGGCGTAGTAGCGCGTAGTACGGAAACAAAGACCTACACAGGCCTTTCAGAATTCGTATCCCGGCACGAACAAACACAGAAAGCCCCTCAAAGTCTCATATTGTTTGTGTGCTTGAGTCAATCGCATTGAGGAAACAAAGATCTAAATACAAAGCTAAGCTAGCGCTAACTGCTAACTCAAGCGTTTTGAATGACAATTCATAATGTACCCTTTTTTATGATTCAGGTTGTGGTTTTATCTATTTTTAATCTGTCTTGTCTAAAATTTGATGAAGCTGTAGTTGTCAGTGCCAAATTATGATGAGTTATCAGCATAAACACAAAGGAGGCGTAATTATTCTCATGCCGTGATTAAGAGTTAGATTTCCCTCAAGGTACAATGAATTATCGTACCACACGTTCACACATATTGCGACAATGAACGTAAACGGTAAGCCATCAAATGAATGATTGCTTGTGTCTAATTGGAGATGTTCATTTTGAGACAACATCAGAGGCGATGTGGAGGAGGGCTTTATTGACACGGGTGTTCGCACAAATCTAAGGTTCAGATAAGGTAATGGACCGTTTCGAAGTCATCCACAAGTGACAGATATTCCTCGACGTTGGGGGAATGTGGTGACTCCTGCATCTTTTGCAATGCAAACGTGACAGTTTAATTACCTTTGCCTAACGTGAAGATGGAAAGGGTCCGAGTCTCTGCGAGCATGTGTACATTTTGCAGTGTTATTCTTTTTTTTTTTTTTTTTTAATGATCCTATGAATCACACAAATGCTCACCGTTTTGGCAAGCACAGCACTTTCGTAACCTCCCCATCGCTCAAGTGGATCCACAGCTGAAATCAGACATGATTAGACTTTGTGTTCATGACACCATTCGCTTTACCAAGTTTAAATGATGTTGCTTTTACCAAAGTGCATTCAAGGTTTAATGGTTTGAAAACCATTTGGTAGTTTAATGTTTGGGAAAGCGATAGGGACGGTGTGACATGCTTTACAAAAATGATACAACCAGCTGTCACTTTCACTGTAAAAATGAATACGCTATTTCTAATTAATAAAATTGTGACAACAGATTGCAAGCAATATTATTAATTAAATTTATCAAATTAGAACTGAGTAATAATTCATACCTTACAAGTTAACCATTTAAAATGAGTAAAATTTACACCAAAAAATAAACAAAAATTCCTGAATAACAGATAGACGTCAAAGATGAATGAAGAACTCTTTATTTTATATTGCCAATATTGAAGACACCTGATGTTAACAAGCCGAATCACTGAAGGAGAAAACCATAATTTTAAGTCGCCATTATGGTGATCAGTGTTTGTTTTAGTTGGGCTCTTGACTCTTAAATCATTCACTTTAAGTTTTGTTTGGCTGATATACCTGAATTATAACAGTCAGATGAACAAATAGTGTTGATTATGTTTTAACATAATTTTTTCACAATCATTTGACTGGTTAACTTTTACTCATTACTGGTTAACTTTTAAGGAACTAGTTTGAATTCTAATTTGTTAAATTTAATTCATGATATTGCTTGTAATCTGTTGCCACAATTGTATTGCTTAGATAGCATATTCATTTTTACAGTGTTGACAACACACAACAATAAGGTACTACTATGCATTTCAGATACATATCGGTATCAACATGCATCCTTTAGGGGTAAATGTACAAAAATGTACTTCTGAAAGGGTACTGTCCCTTGTGTACCATTTTTCGGAGAATATTATACTCAATGTAAATCAAAAATACCCCCCAAAATATACTTTTTGATTTAGTTTAACTTAACAAGGACGTAAACATCACAAATTTGCATCCGTTCATTACCCATTTACATGTTTAGTTGGAATTATTTGACTTCTAATCTTGATTAGGATTTTCCTCCCTTTTCTGCTTCCATTCTCCCAGCCCCAAAATGTAGTCAGTCACGAACTAAGCCACAAAAGCGAAAGTTATATAACCTGTCAGACCTAGTGTCTCTCAGCTCTAACTTGGATCAAAGTGCATCAGTCTCCCTGAAGATGTCCTTGTTATTTTCCTCTGCTCAGGTACCAGCCACAGCACCCATGACTATATCCTAAAGGAATGGTCCTCTTTTTTTTCTTCCAAAAAAATAAATAATTTTCATTAGTGTATACATGATGGTGGGCTTGTTGCAGACTGTAATCACACATGGTTCTCTTCATTGACATCCACCTAAAAAATGCTTTGAACTGACTGACATGTTTTGCCACTTTGAAGCCCACAGGTTGAGTTTTGCTTTCATTTCCTGAATGAGATTTCCTTGCCATCTCACCCCGCAGACATCTGCATTCAGCTCATTGGCTTTCTTTATCAGGAAAAAGAGTTCAGACAGAATCGATGCGGCACACAATGAAGTGGACTCCAACGTAAATTGGCTCACTTGGGAGACAGAAGGCGTCTCTTGCTCCAAATACAGTAAGAGAGAAGATCTTTATTCAGGTCACTATAAGCACATACATTAATTCAGTAGCAGGGTGATGAATACTGACATACTGACATTCAAACCACTTAATCATATTTCTTGTATTTTACAGTTTGTTCAAGGTTGTTTTCCACTGTAAGAGATGCCGATTGATTGGTCTTGTCTTTTATTTGATCGTGTTTCCATTTACATTAACACTTTGGCACATCAGAAATTTGATATTTTAGTTCTCAACCAAGGGGCCACTGGAAACTTTCAAAAGGGCTTCACACCTCAGGATGACCTAGAATGATTTAAAATAAGAGGAAAAAATCATTAGAACAATCGTAGACTAACTTAAAAAATGTGATTAATTTAGAAATATAGAAATGAATAAATGAACATAGACTTGTTAAAGTCATGTTAATTAATAAAAACTCCATTGATATTTTTATGGAGAATATTTATATATGTATTTACAAGATAAGTTCTAAAATATTTCAGGAAGAAACATTTAGCTACGAATTTTGCTTATTTTAAAAACAACAATAATATTCCTCTTTATTTAACTAGGGCTATGGATCTTTTACATATTGCTGTCAAAAAGGTTGAAGACACTGATTTAGAATTAAATTAGTACTGAATAATATTTTACAATATTAATAATAGTAACAGTAATGGGGAGAGGTTAATTTCATTAAACATTTTTTTATTTAACATATATTTTAATGTTTATTTAACATTTATTTTTAAAAAAATGTTTAGCCCATAGAAAATAAATTGCTAAATTCATAGCATAATGTTGATATCAGTCATGAAATGTGTTTCCAAGCTTGTGACTCTGTTTTCCAATCTAAATACAAATGCATAAGCAAGTGAGACAAGCATCCTGCTCATTCATTTCTCTTTCTCTGTACCTGTTTCCCAGACACCACTTGCCCATTGATTGGATGCAGAATTGGCTGGGTTTGCACTTCCTGCAGACTTGGACCCCTCCGAGCGGCCACACAATGGAGATGGTTCACGTGCCAGGTAATTGGCGTCTGGGACAGGTGCTCCCACAAAGCAGTGGGGTTTCTGCCGAGTCTCCTTTCACATGGCTGTAATTACCTAATTGAAAAACTCACTGGGGGGAAATAGGAGCTAGAGATAAGGTCTCTTTCACTAAACCACTGGCTGCTTTTCAGTTGAGCGGAAAAAAAAAAAACATATTTGTTGCCTCTTGAGGTAAATATTGTCCAAGGGAGAAACGATGGAAAGAAAAGCTAGAGGATCCATTGTATATGAGGGGCTGATTCAGACAGCCAGTGTTTGATGGAGGACACACATGAGGCAATAGACAATAGACCAACAGATTTTTTTGTTTGTTTTTTTGTTTTAGCCTCTACGCCTCTCCTGTCCCTGAACTGAAGAGATTAAGGGTGAACATTAAAATGGTATAATGCCACACTATGAAAGGAGACACCAGTTTTATATATATAAAAAATGATGTTTAGATTTAATAAATGAACTGGGTTGTATCATTTGTAATTTCTCAATATATGAACATAATTTTTAAACATGGAAATCATGTTCATTTCGCTATCACAATTAAACTAAACTTTATAGTGTTGTAAATTATTTCACTCATTGTTTTGAATGTTTGAATGCCTTTTTTACATTATATATATATATATATATATGAAGAGTTCAGATGCAAAAGCCTCTAAATGCCATTTGAAATTTTCTTCTTCAATGATGATTTTTATCAAACTTGTATATTTAAGTTCAGTAATTTCACTTAAATGACAATTAATAGGTAATCTGCATTGCCATTTAAGTGAAATTACTGAACTTAAATATACAAGCTTGATAAAAATGATCATTTTAGAAGATAATTTCAAATGGCACTTAGAGGCTTTTGCATCTGAACTCTTCATATATATATATATATATATATATATATATATATATATATACGTGTGTGTGTGTGTGTGTGTGTGTGTGTGTGTGTGTGTGTTGGAAAATAGACTCATAGTATACCATCATCCAGGTTGTCATATTGTACAAGAGCAAGACCAACGATAGACCCTCATTATTGCTGTATCAAGTCTAGCCTTTGACCTGAACATCCAATAAGCTCTTGTGCCTCAGGTGGTCCAGACATGGTTTATTTGCTGCTACATTGATTCATGAGATGTAACTATGTCTCATTGTGTCCTGTTAATCTGTGAAGTCACCTCAACCTTCAAGCACAGGTTGCTGATGCTTCAAATGGTCTTTATGAAGAACTACTTCTGGATTAGAAATGAATCAGGTCTTCCTTTGTCATTAACATCTACTGCTTTAAGGTTTGCCAAGTGATATTTGAATCCATTATCCCATTATAGATTTTCCTGGGGTTATAGTTGTACTCCAAGAATTTATATTGAGGTGTGTTTTTAAATTTCCTCAAATGTTCACCTGAAAAAGGTTATTGTTAGGAAGTTGTTTAGTATTTACTGCGGTGTGATGTTATCACAGAACAAAGTCACTGTAATCATTCCAAGACACTATCTGAGTTTGTAAAAACCTGAATCAATGCTGTACCCTGGTGGAGGAAAGTTGTATTTGAAGAGTTCAGATGCAAAATCCTCTAAATGCCATTTGAAATTTTCTTCTAAAATGACCATTTTTATCAAGCTTGTATATTTAAGTTCAGTAATTTCACTTAAATGACAATTAATAGGTAATCTTCATTGCCATGTAAGTGAAATTACTGAACTTAAATATACAAGCTTGATAAAAATGATCATTTTAGAAGAAAATTTCAAATGGCACTTAGAGGCTTTTGCATCTGAACTCTTCATTTAAAGACCCAAAACATTTACAATTATATAGTGTATTATATTTGGTCCCCATATGAAATAAGTAGAGAATTAATTGGCAAATCTATTTATTTTACATCACTGAAAGTTTGGAAAGCAGGTACCCTTCATTAACCCTGTCGACGATTTTTTTCCCTATTTTTTTCAAGAATATGCTTTGCTTTCCCTCAGAAATACATCACATGAACGGTCCACTTCAGCATATATTTTAAAATATATATCCTTAAATACATCTTTACTGATGTAATTCTCCGGTGAAGAATGGTATTGATAGTCAAAAAGTCCACATCTGATTAATGACATATATTTTTATTTCATATGAACATTATGTAAAATGAATATTTACATTTTCAAGTATTTTCCAATTACATCTTTTATTACATTCAATAACACTCTAAAGGAACAGTACATCCAAAAGCACTAAAAGAAGACTTTTTGTCTGTAAAGTCTTCAGAAGTCATACAGTGTGAGAAACATCAATTCGCCTTATTTGTTCCTGGAAAGGAAGTTTGAAAGGACATTTAGGTGAATAAATGATGTCAAATTTCTCTTTTTTGTTGACTGCCCCTTCAACCAGGATAAAAAAGTGAAATGATAATGGCAATTTGAAAGGAATGCACTTTTCATCATTCTGAACATTCACCACTAACATTGCACAGATACGACTGGAAAGCCAATGACGTTCTCATCCAGTCTCCCAGAATACATTATTGTCGTTATTCAGCTTCAGTGACAGTAACACAACTCAGCCACCAGGTGGAGTCCTTCTCTGAATCCTCTTTACAGACTTTCCAAGTCCTCTGGTAAAGAAATGACTAACTTTCCCACAGTAAGTGTTTGTGGTTCCATTCAGCGCCACTTCCAGCGGCAACAAGAAGGATTTTACGAGATCCTCTCCAAATGTGTACTGCCAGAAAAAGTAAAGAGTGATTCATTAGCTTTGGAAACAGACATTGGTTGGAACGCCACAAAAGGTCTGGAAACTTCCATTCTTAAACTCTTAAATAATGCAGAGTAACTCACATGTTTGAAAGCATCATACACAGCCTTGAAGGCAGGCTGTTTGTCGCTGTGAAACACCCCTCTGTTGCCGTGCAAAATGACAACGCCTTCTTCTTTAGCCGGGATGCAGTTGCTGCCGTAGATACAATGGTCAGGACGATAGTTCCAGTGGCAGGGGAAGGTAAATACCATCTCTGGGTGAACACACATCTGTTACAGAGACTTTGAAGCGTAATAAATACACAAGAAATAGAAGAAATCCAGATAGGCTTACCTGGATTGTAATGGAAGATTATGTTAATCAGGTCTTGATCACCCCAGGTAATGTTAAGCTTGTATTTCTGCAATAAAGGCATGAGAAGCTCGTCCCAGTGCAGACCAACAGAGGTCATGTCATTCTGTCCATAAAGAGTAAAAAAGAAAAGAAAGAAAGTTAAGTATCTCTATCTAAAAGCCAAGGTAAAAATAGACATTTGGCGTCCTCTTCTGGACTAAAATGGAATTACAATATTATAAATAAATACTAAAAGGGATAATTTACCCAAAACTGAGTATTCTATCACTATTTACTCATCCCCGTGTATGAATTTGTATGAAAACCTGTATAAATTTCTTCTGTGGAGCACAAAAGATATTTTAAAGAAGGTTGGTAACCAGAGAGTTGACGGTAGCCATGACCTTCATAGTATTTTTTTTCCCCCTCTTGATAAGTATTAAACAAAAGAAAGAACATTTTTGGGTGAACTATCCCTTTAAGGCCCGGTTTCATATAGAGAGGGCTTAGATTAAGCCAGGGTTAGACCTTAGTTCAATTAGGACATTTAAGTAGCTTTAATAAACATGCCGTAGAAGAAATCATTACTGGTGTGCATCTTGAGACAAAACTTTGACAATGACACTGACATATTTTAAAAAGATGTCAGTGCAAGTTGCAAAATAAACCTGTTCTTTTGATGAACTTTCTATTCATTGTCCTGAAAAAACTGTATCATGGTTTTCAATACAATATTAAGCAGTTTTAAACACTGAAATTAAAATGAAACGTTTCTTGAGCAAAAAAATCATCATATTAGAATGAATTCTGAATGATCATGTGACATGATGCTGAAAATTCAGCTTTGCCATCACATGAATAAATAAAATATATTCAAATAGAAACTGTTACTAAATTGTAATCATTTTTCACAATATTCCTGTTTTTACAACAAACAAAAACAATTATCAAATAAATGCAGCCTGAGTGAGCACAAGATAATTATTTAAAAAATATTTAAAAATAGCTTACCCTAAACTTAAAATACATATCTTTAAATTGATTTTTATTATTTATCAGTATTTTAATATTGTTATATTAATTATTACATCATTTTCAATTATATTGTAAATATTCCCCCCCTGTTTGCTGCCAGGAGTTTTAATATTGTAATATAGAATGTCACATGACATTTACAGCTCACATGATTGGTTTGCCTATGAAGCAAAGATGGCGGCATCCAGGTCATGAAGCTCTGCATGTGTTCCTGCTATTGAGATGAATAGGAATAGCTGACTTCAGGATCCGGCCCTCTAATCTCACCTTAAATTGTGTCCTTCGCATCCGGGTCAAATTCATCAGCATGACACCAGAGTTGATGCCAGTTCTTCCATAATACGGATGCCGGGAGAAGCGACTGTACCAGGCAATCCGTGGCTCCTCATGCTCTGGTGCCATAGCTACTAACTGAGTGGAGTTAAAGAGCGCCAACATGTCCCAGATCAGCTCTACAGGCTGCAAGAAGAGGACATCAGTGTCCACATAAAGTAAGGAGTCCACCTCCCTCAGAATCATCTGTAGAGAATAGAAAGAAATTGCAAATAGTTTGTCAAACTGCAATGTTTTTTTAATTTCAAAATTAAATGATCTGTAGTAATTTCAAATTAAATGAAAAAAAGAGACCACCACTTTAGAAAAGATGAATGCATATTTTATTATTTTTACACTGCATTGTTAGGAGTAGTCACTGTCATTTTAAATGACCATAAATGACCAAAATAAAATCAGTTTTTGCTTAAAACATTTTAAACTAAACATGCTGTTTCAATAACCAAGACTGCAGTAATTCTTACCGGTAAGAAGAGTCTCTGCGATGCACATGGCTTGAAAAGCTGACTCCACTCTTCACGGTTCTCATGGGGAAATGAAATGGGGTGAATAACATAGCTGACTTTCACTCGGATCAAAGCTGGCCAGGAATCCAGCTGTGCAAGAGGAAGATGGGGTAAATCTTCTATCTCAACAGTTTCTCAATGGTTCTCTAGCAGATGAAAGTGCATAGAGTTTGCACTCTGGGGATATACAGGGGGAAAATATGCCCCTAAAATGATTCATATCCCCTTTAACACTGGTGAGATGTGCCTATTGTTGTGCAATAATATAGATGTGCATGCATATATGTCAGAAATGATTATTGGCTCATACTAACCGCTGCTTTTATGTTGGTGTGTAACTGCTCTTCTGCAAAGATGTGAAATCTCAAGTCTCGACTGCTGAGCATGGCTGTGGACTTCAGCATGTTGACAGCTTCCCCGTGTCTCTCTCCACAAGCCACCACAGCCAGCTGCATCAACGTCTCCCGCTGTCCAGGTGAGGTCACCTTGTGTGCAACATCTCTGAAAACGGACAGTCAGTGAGCTTTAATCTCAACCCTATAGATGGGCTGATAGAAGTATGGCCGAATAAATAAACAATCATTTACGAATTTCTTTTTTTGTCATTGTAATAAACATTAAATTAAATAGACATGAAAAAATGACAATGTGATAAAGATAGTTTATATGTAAAAATAACTTTTTACACGTTTTTAATAGGTCTCACAACAAAGACTAAATCCACAGATGACTAAATAAAAAAGAAGATAACTTATTTTCCAACAAATGGTCTGAGAACAGAGATGCTCAATGTTCAGAAAATTACAGAAATTAAATTTTAAATTTAGCCGCTTTTATTTCCTAATAATTTACAATAAATTTCTAATTCTGCTTTTTTTTGTGCAATAAACATTAAATAAATCAAATGGACAAAATGTTTTAAAAAACGAAAAAAGATAAAGCGATAAAAAAGATAGTTGATGTTTAAAACTAACTTTGTTATAATGGTTTATTAAACGTATTCAATTGGTCTCACAACAAAGGAAAAAAAACAACAGATGGTCTGATAAAGGGATGGATGAGTAAACAAGGCCACAAACGGTCAGATAAAGGTGCTGCTTAATGGTGCTTAACTAAATTTTAAATGAGCTGTTTTTATTTCCTAATAATTTGCAATCATTTTCTAATTAAACATTTGTTGCAATTAACAATAAATAAACATATAAATTAAACAGAAACAATGTTTTAAAAATTAAAAGACAATTTGATAAATATATATTTCGTATTTAAAACTAATTTTTGTTATAATAGTTTATTAAACACAACTACAGGTCTTACAACAAAAAAGAAAACATGGGATTTCTAGTACTTTTTACAAGTACAATTATGTTCCACATTCGTGGAATACCAATAATGCAACTTTTTTTGTAACATTATAGCATTGATTCGTTCTTTGTTTATTAGTTAAATTGAGGGTATAGTATTCCGTCTGCTGTTTTTTAACAGTTTTGTTCAGAATTAGTTGAAATTAATTACACAAATTGTCTGTAAGCTCAGTCTATCACCTGAAAACAGGTGTGCGTGAGAGGGGCGTGATTTGGCTGTTCGTTATCGGTTGCATCAATGCCCAGCAACATCTCAGTACTGTCGACATGTCAGCACCATAGATTGTAAAGGTCAGCACTCTCTCTTGACAACAAATCAGTACAGGTAGGTGTCAACAGCTTCCACCATAAGTGTCTCTCAATTCAGTGTGGAATTACACGGGCTGTTGTCATGTGCATCGTTTCCCTTTCATGGATTTTAGTAGTGGACGTTTCCTGTATTTCTGGCCACGTATGTAAGAAAATAATCCAGATGAAACTCGAACTATATGTCACATTTTGTTTTTTGGAATAGTATTTTCAGTGTAACTTTCCAAAATTGAGTTCAAACATTATTTTGAAAAAGGACAAACACGGATTTGAAATGTTATTTACGCAAACTACCGGTTAAACATACATTATCTAAATAAAATGAACGAAACCAGTCTGATTAACGTTACCCGAGTCTGTGTGATCTGGTCGCAGTGGGTCCTTGTTTTGATTTTACTCCATTTAAGTTCTTTGCGATGGACGGTTCCAGCGGCGCCCTAACTTGCTTTAAAAAACCCTGTGCATCATGTTTACTGAACACAAATAGTAACGATAGAAGAGCAATAACTATGCACAGACTAAATGTACGAATATATCCACGCATTCTACAGGGCACGGACAGTTTTCACTTGAAAAGAGTACACTGAGTGTGCACTCGCCCCACTGATGACCACTAGCGATGTCCGTCGTTTCGTAAACGAAACGAATCGTTTGAGTCGGATCTTTTCACTGAATCAGATTCACTGTTTCATTGAACTAAATATTTAGGCGTAGCCAAATCTTTCTAGAAATATGTGTAAAATATTAACAATATATATATATATATATATATATATATATATATATATGAATAGAATTTTCAATAAATAGCACTTTAATACTTTAATAGCACTTTGTTAACATGCAAAACGTAAATTTAGATTCTAAATGAATAACTTAGTTATGAGCTAAATCATGGCTGCAACAAACTGAACTTGGATACATCCAATTTTAATTAACAAACTTAAATAAAACATATGACTTTACTAGAACGTTTTAGATCAAAATGTTTGCCAGGCTGCCAGAGACCGCGTGATGACGTAATTTCCGAAAGAACTGTATCGGTTCTTTGAAATGAACTTCGAGAGAACCGATTCGCACAAATGAATCATGCTTCCTATCATTAACGACCACCACCATCCCCCACATACAAATGCCGTAATAAAAGACCCCTACTACAACAAACCCCTCAAGACTGATTCTTCAATTTACTAGCAAAGTTATTCGTATTTTAATTACTAACTTATTTTTCAGCTGTATTTGTTCCATTTTTATTGCTATTTTCTGTAGTTGAATTTCACAGAATTGACACTGATTTTTAAATGATTATTAATAATAGCTATGTTAGAACATGCATTTTAATCTTACAAGTAGGATTTTTTTATGTATTTAATAGCCAACAAGCATTAATATTTAATAGCCAATATGACTAGTCGTTAAAATTACTTTTGAATTCTTAGAATTGTACCTACTAGTAAAATTAAAAGCATGCCTTGTGTAATAATGGCTAGTAACTAGTAACTAAGTGTAGTAGTACATTTAAAATACTTATGATTATTTATAGAGGAATAAATGTCAAATGTAACAATAGTACATGTAAACTAAAATGTCACACATCATGAATATTCAATATTCCCTAAGGGGGAGCACAGAGGAACTGGATTTGTCTACCAGCAAAACAGGCTTTCTGCTCTGTATTTCAGTCAGATAAAAATAAATGTTTCCAGCTGTATAAGGCAATGTATATTGAGAAATGGATTGTCAAGTTGAGTTAAGACAGTGCTATTCAAGCAACAATGCTTTTCATTGTCTCTGACTGTATGCCACGTATTGCATCACTCCTCATGGTGAGGTAAAAAACACAACACTTTGAATATCACCCTCATGCATGTCATGTGCATTTCAAAGAACTGGAAAGACATTTCACCACACAACCCAAATTTGATAATCACTCCCTCAAGGTCTTTGTTTGTCCTAGAAATAAATCTGTTGACGATATGAGTCTAAATCTTAAATTTTATTAAGAGATATTTCCTATACTGCAATATTTATATACCACCATTCATCATAAAGTAGGGGATGAATTTAACATCTTACAAATTCATTTGTCTTTTTTGTTGTCAAAAAATGTTATGTTTCTCATGGAATTAACAGAATTATATAAAGACAATCTAACACAAAACAGCGCTGGTAGAACAACTAGCCGCACAAATGTGATGCAATCTACCATGACAAGTGTCAAATAAAAAGGCATGAACAAGAACAAATAAACAATGAATTTCTGCGTTTGATGGGTTTTTCGTTAAACTGTACAAAAGTACCAGCAGGTGCAACAAACAATTGAAAAAGGAAGTACTGTTTCGATCACAGTCATTCATAGAGGTCTTAACGCCCACCCCGTAATGCATTGAAAGTATATTAAAGTTTCAATACGCAACTGCTGCAACTGTCATTAATGCAAAAGCAAGTATGTTCACTACAACGTTCTAGCTGAATCAACATGTTTTTAAGCCCCAGGGTCAATTCCCAGGATGTAATGGGTGCTGTTGCAACAATTACAGACTGGTTTTAAAAAATGGTTTACAAAACTATAGTGAAGAGAACATGAACGGGTGTCACTGTCCACATCCAAACAGACAACAACACTTATCTAAATTAATAAGACCATGTTAATTAAACTGTCTAAATGTCATCAAATTCAAATTTGCTTACAAACTCTACAGTTTATCTCGAGCTGACCTACTAGGCATTGTAACAAATCAGAACAAGAATATCATGGTGAAATCCTATGTTCCAGATCCTATAACTGTGGTAGTAGTGAGAGATGGCTTATATTGCTGGGTTAAGTCTGTCTCGTTAAGTCTTGACAAACGTAAGCGCGCTCCTGTGTTTGTTTGTTTAAAATGGATATATTAGATGCAGGAGACTGGAAGTAATGTTCATACTCCACGGGTTCCTAGTGAGACTCTCCGTTGAGTGAGGAAACCTCCCCTCGCGGGGACGAGGATCTGGAGATCCCCTTCTCTGTGTTGTCTGAGTTGGATCCACTCTGGCTGTGGTGGTCTCCAGATGTTGCGCTGGAGGACGAGCTGGAAGAGGGCTTAGTTTTCTCCTTAAAGTCTGTTATGATAACCGTCAGATCTCCCACTGTCACTTCCAGATGCTGTGCGCTACTCCGGTCCACATTTTTTAACCTGGGCCTGCAGGGTAGAGAGCAATAAAGAAATCAGATTTGCTAGTCTTGCCTTCACTTGAGCTGAATAACGACATTGCCTTCAGTAGAGCTGCTTTATTAGATGAATTGAATGTTTACAATTGATGAACTTTTCAACATTGACACCGTTATTGAACTGAACTTCAACTGAACCAACATTAATCATTCTGACACTACTATCTTCGATAGAGGATATGAATTTTGCTACATTAACAATTATTTACACGTGTATTACCATGAAGCTGCTTTAAAACAATCTATATTGAATAAAGCACTATGTAAAGCACAGCAGCCTTTGTTTTGCGAGCATTTTCTCATCCATAGGCAATTAAAAAAGACTTAGGAGCCAATTAACTGAGCTAAGAGATTAATCATGACATCAGAAGCTTTGATTTGAAGACTTGCTTGGCATACATAAACGTATTTTTGAACAAAGCTCTGTACTTAAAGGGATACTCCACATTTGAGTTTTACCGTTTTCGAATCCATTCAGCCTATTTTCTGATATTTAGAGGAATATCAGTAACCAGACCGTTTTAAGTCTCATTGACTTCCATAGTATCTATTTTTTCCTACTATGGATGTCAATTAGACCAGAAACTGTCTGGTTACTGATATTCCTCTAAATATCAGAAAATCGGCTGAATGGATTCGAAAACGGTAAAACTCAAATGTAGGGAGTTTTAAAATGAGCCTATTTCGAAAAAAGGTGGAGTATCCCTTTAACATTTTTTTCATGAGGAACTAAATGACAAATTTAAAATACAGTTAAAACAGTCGTTTTTTAAAATGGAGTAAAAACAGCGAATTGGTTAAATATTACAAGCTGATTTTCACCATCATTCCTTCAGTCTCACACAATCCATCAGAAATTTTTCCAATATACTGATCTGGTGCTCAAGAAAAAATTATTTTGTTTTTAAAAAAAAAAAAAAAATTGTAAAGTGTTCAGCACATTTTAGCAGGTAAAACATTTTATATCGAAATAGTTTCCAGAAAGAGAATAACCGTATTTATTTTTCCACAGTGTGAGGTAGTTGCTACGTAAAATGCAAAATAAACAATTAATTAGTTTGGGGGGGGGAGGAACTACTAAATACAGGGACCATATCGCAATGTTTCACCTCATTTTCTTGTGGCTGTTCTTTTTCAGTGTTGGTGCTCTCTCATTCTTGTCCTTCTCAGTCTTTTCCTTTTTCTCCTTCTTAGGCTGTGTGGGTGAAGCAAACTGCTGTGTGACTTGCTGGGCTACCAGTTGGGGAACAGGACGAGGTTTCCTGTGAGGGGAAAAAATAGGAAAGTGTGAGAGGCGAGAAAGTGAGATTTCTCAGATCGGGATGACAAGCTCACTAGGGCCAAATGAAAAGGACTATGTGGGGGGAAACAAGTTAAAACAAGCAAGTGTTGTAGCCAGTTGAGAAATCTTGCCTACACAGAGTAATCGGAGAAGAATGCATTTTCTCAACAGTTGAGAAACAGACACAATTTCACTCATCGGTTTTCCTTTATACGGCAGGGAGACAAAAACCTTAATAATTTAACTTCCTAATACAAGCTAATATATCCCTAATATACTAGATTTTCATGCCTAAACATTAACCTTAAATAAAAAACAATTTCTATAGCATTTTAAACATTTTATAGATAAAAATAAATAAAATGGAACTAGATTGTAATAACACTAGATTGTGCTGAGAAAATTACATTTTAAATGATACAAATTATCTACTTTGGCATGAATGATAGACTAAGAAAAACTAAACCACACTGAAGAGAGAAAAAAATATGAATAATTCTATAATAATTCTCATAAAAATATATTTAAAACCCCAGCTCTAGATTGAACCAATGGATGTAAATGACCAATTGGCCACTGCTAGAACAGGCATTGGTCTTTTTGTAGGATATGGTCTTGCCCTTTTTTTAACGCATCAGTTGTTGCACCCCTAATTAACGACGGCTATGGCAATTACAGATTATATCTGGACCTACGAGCTGAACTACCCATAATGATCTCAGATCAGAGCTCGGGGTCAAGTCCCCTCAGTAGTGTGGTGTTTAGAACGACTGTTGCTCTAATGTCAAGAACAACAGCTGTTACACCAAAAACAGAGCAGTATGAAGGCCAGGACAGTTGCTGTCTGCTTTGCCAGCACACACACAGTGATTTTAAAAACAGCTTTTCAGTATCTGTGCACTGGTGCAATGTTTACGCTTTCATCCTTAACCCCCGAGTGCTTTGGGAATAGCTAATTAAGTCACACATTGTGAAATTAGGACATCTAGAGCTTTAAAGCGGAGCAGCCAAGAACTGGTCATTAGCATTGATCCTGAGCCCAAGGCAAGTGAAAACGGCCATTAATAGTTGTTACCTCGCTGCATGCTGCTTGCTGTGGACTCGTAACACCAGTCACACTCAGCACTGTTAGACGTGCCATTCAGATTACATCAATCGATCACTTTGTGATGCATTTCCTCCGTTCCAGACATGAGTAAATCGGCCTTAACATTGTTGATCCTTCTTATTTCTAAATGTTTGTTATGAGCGAGTGAGAGATTTTGTGAAATTACTCAAGTCATTAGTCACTCTTCGTCTCACGCATCGTGTTGCGACAACGAATTTTACGCTTGAATTTTATATAATTCAAGCTATTTGGTCAATACTGGGTTTATTTTTGCAATAATGACTCACTGACTTTATATTATCCTGCTTATTACATGGCTACTTTTTAAATAAATAAAATGGACATAATAAAATAACTTAGTCAAAGGCACCATTTACGTATTAAAGGGTTAGTTCACCTAAAAAAAACTTAAAATAATTATTCCACAATGTACTCACCCTCAAGCCCTCCTAGGTGTATATGACTCTTCCACAATTGGATTTGTATATATAAAAAAAAAAACTGGCTCTTCTAAGCTTTATAATTGGAGTGAATGGTCCATCCATGATACAAGTAATCCAAATGGCTCCAAGGGTGTTTAATAAAGGCCTTCTAAAGCAAAGCGATTTGTTTTTTAAAGAAAAATATCCATATTCTTCTTAACTTTATAAACCGGGGTGCACATAACTTTTTTCGGTTTGGTTTTCCTGGATATGCTGCATTGTACTCAGACTTTACACTGCACACTTATCCTACAAGCTGTCTTCATTTTCCTCCTGACTGATTTCCTCAATATCTTCGGGAAATGCTTCTCAGAAAATGCTTTTTCCACAATAAGACGACTATTTAATTTAATGAAAAAAAAAAAAATTATCTTCATTCTTCACAATTCTTATCCAAGAATAAAAAGCCAGATAGCTGACATGACAACCCTGAGCTTTGACAATTCCTTATAAAAAAAATAATAAATAAAAAATTTGTCACGACAATGTCAGTGACACACGCCACTATCCAGTGGCACATGCTAGTGAAGACCGGATGTGCTGACAGGCGTAGTGACGTGCCATTGGCTTCTGTGCATCAGATGCCATGTAACTTAATGTTAATATTGCTACTGTCTTCCTTTCTCTTGAATATGGTAGATGTTTTTTTTATTTGATTAGCATTGATGACACAGACAACAGCCGGCTTCTGTCACTTTAAGACCAAATGTCTTAAGTGTGTAAGACACATCCGGTTTCCTTCTCAACTGTTCACTTATGTTATATTTTGACAATCTTGTGTATATGTCCGTTTAAATGCAATGTGTTAGAGCGCTGTCTAAAACGTGCCTTAAGTGTGACCCAAGACACATGATGCATTTACGAGCACGCAAAAAAAAAAAAAAAAAACACCGGTCATGAATTAGAAGTCTAAAGCAAGAATCTTAAGAGAAATGTTTAAGGATTTCAATATAAGAAAAGATGTGAATGAGTGTGTTGCCCAGCCCTATTAGTTTGAACTGCGAGAGGCATCGACTCTCACCTAAGTTTATGCTACTCCTGTCATACGTAGAGTCAGGTCATTCTTCCACTAGAACTCGACTTGCGTACAGCTGTTTCCGGAAGCCAGTGATTATAGTTTATACGTTTATAGTTGATTGACATTTTAGAACTTCAGCTCGTACTTGCACGTTTGTGTTAAGTGCATCTGAGAAACGCACGTACAAAAGGAACATTTATAACCTCGCATGCAAAAATGCATCTTATAGCTATGAGATCCATCAGGAAAAAACACTCACGATGAGTGATTTATTAGGCTATCGTTTTAATTTTTATCGAGCCATCACGTTTATTTTTCCAATCCACTGGTCACAATTGAAAGCCAAATTCAGAAATAATGTGTATCCATCGGGCGGGCAATAATATAAATTAATAATAAGCAAATAAATTAAAGTAATGGAACAGTGGCCAAATCAGTCAGCAGGACACCGGGACTGTTTCTGACTGACCGTAGGGCTGCAGGCTGTTTAATGCAGAGTACGTTCGGGTCCAGACGGGATCGAAAATAAACTCGGGTCTAATTTTATCAAGTATGTCTCGGTTCAGGTTTTTCCTTTGGAAAAAAAAAAAAGTCGGTTTTGGGTAAAAGAAGAGATTCGGGTCAGGTACAGAAATCCAGCACATCCCATAGACTTTCAATGGATTGAGGGTCTGGACTCAGAGGTGCCAATTCATGTGTAAAAATTATTCTTCACGCTCAACCAATCTTTCACAATCTGAGGCTGACGAATCTTGACACCGTCATCCTGGAATATGGACATGATATGTCTTCCTGCGTGGTCGTTTAAGAAATTAAAAGCTACACACTCCAATTAGGGTTAGAAGAAATGTTGCCAAACACATTAGATGCTAGAAACAATCTGCAATAATCATCCAGTCATAGACTCTTAAGCATTTGGCTATTTAAATCCAAACAGCGACTTATTTTTGGACGATCGTATATCCAATATTAAAAATATAAAATAAAATAAAAAATGGTAACAATATATTGTGTATTCTTAGCAAAACATCACTGAAGGCTGAGGCGGCTCTCACAATATAACTTAGCATCTCATACATTTAAGTCAGTTTCATTAGAAAATAAATTGATTCATTATTTATTTTTTTGTCAATATCAGCTATAATGTAAGCAAAGTAACCAAATGTGTCTACAAAGATGTCTTTTCTTACAGAAGTGCACAAACCAAAACATTTTTCCCACGTTACTATTAATTCAGAAGGACACAAGGACAGCGTTCGTTCTCTCCTCTGAGCCAAGAGTTTTTCAGATGTGTTCATATCTGCATGTTTGTATTATGCTGTAATGACTGTACTGGGGAGGCTTGTGTACTCATGGGCTTGAGCGATGGGAGGGGACACCATGATTAATGCGCTACACTGTGTGAACATGCAGTCTCCATACTGCTCCTTCCTTCGCTCCACTGCCAAGCCCCGTTTGACAGATGGCCCTCTGCCTCCCACTGTCCCACCTCTCCACACTCCGTTTTCGGCTGTTCTTTCCAAGCATTTGCGTTTTCTTTTAGCTGCTTTTCAAAATCCCACACTGCAGTTCCACATTGCTCGCACATCCCTCGCTTTGGTATCCAGCTTTCTCTCCTTTCAAAGGCTCATAAGAGGCTGTGAGAATCAAAATGAGGTCAACCCGTTTGAGACAGTATGGGCATGTGCTTTCGCAAAACATGTGCAATATTTCGCTAATAAATGATAACAGGCTATATAATTTCTGAATAATGTGGATGTTTTATGTGGCTTTTGGTTTATTTGGCATTGGCATGCTGGGAACGCTTTCTCAGACTGCATTAGTTTCGCCTTTTTGGGCAAAGAGACGAGAACTCACAGTGCAGCACTCTGGGTTTCTGCACACATGCAATTAGAGAGGATTTCACATGCTGCTCAACTCCTTCAAATGGCAACTGACTAATATAATGCCTCCTGTCCTATATACATATAAATATTTCAGAAATAATTTAAATTAAAATATTAAAATTACTGCTTAAAATACATAACTTAAGACCCACTGACTAGTTGATATTTCACATTTCTACCATAGTGGATTCTATCGACTATGACTGCAAATATATATTGATGGTTAGATTTATGCTTTCCTCAGTAATCATTCGCATTCGAAATCCTGTTTATCATCACCTCACTGACAGTCATGAAGGATGATTGGTCGGTCCAGTTCTCGAAGTGAAACCCCTAGGTTGTGTCAACAAATTATAAGCGACTGCCTTAAATTTGTTGTGATAACACAAATGTACATTAATGTCAAGTCAAATAAAATAGAGCTCCAATGTGAAACAACATAATACGGAGTTATTTTGCTCAATCTGTCATCGCAAGAGGTCGAGTAAAAAAAAAAAAAAAGTGCTTGGACTAGACTAGAGGGGACATTCGCTCTATTTTGTGGTAATTGAATGGTAAAATACTGCAGAGTGAATACTTGTGCTAGGGGGCGAAGAGTGTCGGTACACTGAAATTAGAGGTTTGCCGGCAGGTTCTGTGGGTCAATGGGGGTATGGCTTGAAATGCTCAACAAGAAGCTGTGCAGCTTCATCAATTAACTGTCAGTCTGTCAGCACAAGTTAACAACTAGGTAATCAAATCACTCTTCCAATAATAGCAAATATAGCCAGTGTCGAAGCAACATTAAAAAAAAAAACATTAACTCAGTGGCTTGTATTGCGTGATTTTAAAGAGATAATTCATCTTGAAATAAAACTTGATCATAATTTTCACCCTCAGGTTATTCTAAACCTGTATGACTTTTACAACGTGGAAACAAAAGATTTTGAAGACGGTTCCATCTGGTTTTGTCCTTGTAATGAAAGTCAATGGGGTCCAGAACAACACAGAACCCCACTGACTTTCATTGTTTTGACTAAGAAAATAAAGAACGTATAATTTTTTAATAATATCTTGCTGAAAAACTTCTGACCCAAATTAAGGTAGCCAGCAAACGTGCTCTAAATTAACCCATGTATGTAAAAATATTCACCACACATCAGTCAGGCTCAGCTAAATCGTGGTCTTATAAAACATTCATCTACCATCCGCTGCACACAACCGCAATTTATACAAACACCCTGTTGTTGTCATACATTTGACGGTTGCTTGGAAAGATAATGAAGCAAAAAGCAGCAGAATCAATGCATGTTCTCAGCATTTACGTATACAATTGCTTTCCAAATGCAGAATAACAGCAGATTTATTGGAGAAAAGTGAACCCACGGTGTGTCAAGAAGCTCTCCATTCTTCATAAATGAATGGCCTGCGAGTATCACACAATCAAGAGGACATCATCATTAAAACCCATCATTTGTGGCCATCTCCGAGGCATTATAACAGGGCAGATGTGCAATCATGGGTTTATTTATGGGTATGAGTGTCTGTGTGTGCGCATCCTGATGTGAGGATGCCTCCTCTGATGACAGCATTCTTGATTAAGCCGTTGAATGCAAATGAGTTCAAGCCGTCTGGACGCCAGCTGCTGCGGTGGCCTGGACGAGTGACAGCACCCCACCCCCACATAAAAATCCTCCGCCCTCCCACACGCACTTTTGCAGTGAAAATGAATATTTGTTGGCTTCAAATAACTGCTGTAATACTTTAATTCAGCAGTAGTAATGGGATCTGAAACTTGGAAGATAATTAAAGCTTTATAACCAATCTCCCTAAAGAAAGATGATCATTATCGGGTGCTGTTGTTGAGAGCTGAGGTCTGTCATCATCATCATCATCATCTGCTTTTAGTGTGCGTTTATGTTCCCGAAAAGCAGATGAGGAATGCTTTACTTCCTGACCTGATCTCATCTTAATGGCATAAGGGAAATAACTGACTGTCGACTCAGTCGCTGCCTGTTCCAAAACAGGATTTTTATGACGGATGAGATGAAGGTGAGAAAATACGAGCCCATTAAATGTCTTCTTTGATGAGGTCATTAGCGCTCTCTCCTGGATCTCTGCCACAGGATAGATGCTATCTGTGAGGCCGATAAAAGCAGACCATTCTCTGCAACTAATTAAAATCTCAGATTTTTATTTGACTTTGTACTCTTGTTTTCCTTCATATAGAGTGACTGTAATAGCATCTTAAGGCGCGATCACATTTAGGACGACACTTACATAAATTAGTTGATATGCATGGAATGTGTTTATTCCTCAATGATGGCAGCTCCCGGGCTTGCAGAGTCAGCCGTTATTAAAAAAATAGAGCCCGTTCTAAAGTGTGGAAATGTTTTAGACATTTCAAACCGAGGAAACACAACTTGGCAAGAGCATCAAAAAAGAAAAAGAAAAAAAAAAAAAAAAAAAAAACTCTTGGAGCTCTCTTACCCTCAAAACAACAAGGCGGCAGCGCGAGTATTTGGACTAATACAGTGAAATTTTACAAAGCACTAGAATATGGTTGTCAGTTTCATATTTTGTGCTTAATACAGCATCCTACTTTTTACGAGCTGCCGTGGCTGCGATAGGTTACAACGCATACAACGCTGTTGTTGGTCATTTAAACTCGTGCCTCAATTTGACTCATTTAATTACGCGCTGTCGATCGTGGTAAATCTTCACGGTTTTATGGACACCCCAATGTTTGACACTGTCGCTTTGGATAGTTAGAATGTGGTTGTGACTTCAGCTGTTTGATCATAAGGTTGAATGAAGAAATTTAAGCAGCTACTTTAATCATTTTAGAAATCACACTTGTAAGCAGTTGCTGTTGTAAATCCCACAAAATAACTGTGTACACACAGTAAACACCCAAGTAATTAAATTAACTAAAGGATTAATTAACTATTCAGGAAAAGATGAGCAAAAAATTGTATTAACCAGGAGGACAAAAAAGAACTGTTAGATTATTCGATTAATCTGTAGATTAATCGATTGAAGACAAAAAAAGTTTGTTCCAGCCCTAAACACATTGGCAAAACTTCAGCGGAAATGTCAGAGCTGAAAGCAACAATCAGCAGCACCAATGCATTTTGGGTGACATTTCATGGGCAAAGAAGGTCCATTGTCTATCGGAAATAGTGTAGCAACATATAAAGCATAGCTCACACAGAAGTCACTTTTCAAAGCAGGTAGGTTTCTGTTGGTCAACACGGCAAATTCACATTTCCAACTTAAACCAGTTGCGAAATCTGCGTTGGGAAACAAATTGACATGCATTGATTTCGACCATGAAAATTCTCTGAACGAAAGTAAATTTTAGGAACAGCATTACCCAAGCATTAATTCTGAAAGTTAATTTGTTCCTCTTCATTAAAAATGCTTTATTACACATTGTAATAGGCGGTCTCGTTTTATCCCTCCAAATCACTAACATGCATTCAACTGGTCTTTACAAAACACATCATTACATCAAAATGCTTGGAAAGATTGAATGATACAAGTATTTATCTACCAATTTACGACATGAATAGATGGTAACTGTAGGATTGGTGCATCCCAAAGTTGTTTGCAATGCCAAAAAAAAAACTTTGCTTATAGGTTGTGTTATAACTTGTTAATGTACTTGTCTAAAATGACTAATTAACTGAAATAATAACCCGCACTTACTTCCAAAATAGCCTAAATTGATAAGGATTTAATTTGTTTTACCAACAGAGCTGTTTAGTAACGTGACACTGATTGCTCACATTTATTCCTTAGGTAATAAACATGTATTAACTGTTAATTAACACACACACACGCAGCTTATGGCTGAGTCTCAAAACATAGTGAGCTGGCTATTAGGACTGCAATTCTAGCTATCGAAAAAAGTCCAAATATTATGTCCAGTTAGGGAGCTCATTAGATTTGAGGGTTGTTAGCAGATATCGAGTGGCACTCACCGCGTTGACGTTCCCTTCCTGATATCGCACATCATGCATTTGAACGCTTCGGCGCTGTTCTTGAATGTACACACGCTGCAGTCCCAGTAGCCGTCGTCAGAGGAGGGCTTCGCTTGCCGTTTCGGCCTTCAAAAAGCAAAACAAACAGAAAGAACATCACATCTCGGACTGTAGAAAGCTCCGTAACACATATGTGATTTTATCCATGCAAAAAGTCAGTCGGAGGCCTGTGCAAGCGACGCGTTCTTTAATAAAATGACACTTTAGGTTGATAAAACAGCCAGTCCGCCATGGTGGCCACTCTGTTGCGTCTTTCTCATTCACGCGCGCTGCCTAATGGTCTGTTTCGAGTCCTGAGTGAGATGGCCACGAGTGTCTTGAAGCCACGGCTGTGGGAGTTTCTTTCTGTTTGTTTTTACCTCGTCGGACTCCTCTTGTCTCCCATGCTGCAGAAACTTTGTGCGAAGCGTGCAGGCACAGCCGCCTCTCGCGCTCTGTCCTCTCTCTCTCGCGCGGCTCCCAGCTGTCGTAGAAAAACTCCAGCGCAACGGTGGTCACGTGACTGTGCTCGACCAATCCAGCGTCGATTTATTTTCTCAAACTTAGGGTCGTGGGTTTTATACGGGTTTTATGGTTTTACTCTATTTTTTTTTTTTACAGTCTATACTGCATCCCTCTTAAATTAAAGTCAATTTTTCCTGGCACGTCACACGAAAAGGGTAAAAAAAAAACAGTGTCTAAATTCGAAAAATTCTGTCATTTAAATTAGCCATTTTGTTTTTCTATTGTTTTCCGATAAATGTTACCAAAATATGGGTCTAAATCATAGGCTGTAAAAGGTCTAAATGCAGCTTAAAACCATAATTTGGGTTTTGCTATTTACTAACAACAAACATCAAAAGGAAATATACTGTTTATAAAATGAATAAAACCTAAAACAAAAAATACAAAAACTTGGTTAAGATGTGGTTAATTTTAGCCTAAATTTAGGCTATAAGGACTAGTAAGCTTGCAGCCAAATGTTTGCCCATTTTTCCATTTCCCAAAAGCATGAATATTAGCATGATTTCCCCCCCTTACAAACACTTTGATAACTAGGTTGATTGGTTGAACTTGAGACTGACAGGTCAATCGTTCGTTTAAATTATGATTGGTTGTATGATTTTAATCTTTAAACGTATCTAATTCCACTTTTTTTGTATATATATATTCATGAAATGTGAGGAAATTTCACAAACTTACATCTGCTGATGTTATCAAGTAATATTATGCAATTGATGTAAAGTATACTGCTATATTAACGTTTGATGTCTTATTGAGAATGCAGACACTTATTATTTTAAACATTGATAATAATATGAAGTAGACATTAAAAACAAGCTTTCAAATGACAGCTGAGAGCAGACAGAAAGTTATTTTAAACTGGTTTATTTTGCATGCTACCTGGAACAAAAATAATCATGTATATGTGAAACACACAAAACTAAACTATATTTACAAGATTAAAAAAAAAACAATCACAATACTATATACCAAATATTTAGAGGTGTGATTATCTGAATGAGGAGCATAACATCACAACCAACATCTCAGATCAAGATAAGCAGATGACTTCTCTGCCTTTCATGACAACATAAGAAATTTTGATTGATTTGTGACCTAAAAGCAGTTGAAAAGAGAAAGTCTGTTCTGAGCACATAAAAGTATGAATCAGTCACTGAGCTCCTCCTCATCACTGAAGTAGGTGCTCTTTTTGATCCTTGGCTTGTGGGTGTCGTCTGATGTAGATGCTTGAGATGCATCCTCTGTGACCTGCTTCTTTCTCTTCTCCTCCTCCTCAATGTGTGCTTGCTGACGATGACAGGCAAAAAGTTAGATTTCTGTTTGAGCCCATTTTTACTTGGAATATGTATGAAGACTGAACCATAGTGTATACTGTATAATATTCACTGACCTGGAAAGCAATTGCCTGACTTAAACTGTCCAGTGCTGGATCCTCTCCTTCTTCCTCACTGTCCTCTGGTTCTCTAAAAGGAAAAAAACAACATTTATTTTCTATTATATTATTTTCAATTAATTAGATATGCTGTAAAAGATTAATTGCATTAAGTACATACTAGGTACTAGTTTAAACTATTAATTCTATTAGGAAGTACTTACACCTCCTCAGGCTGCTGAACCTTTTTCTTCTTTTTCTTTTCTTTTTTAGGTGGAGGTTCTCTCTCTCCAAGTAAATTTTTAGGACAGGCGTAACTCAAGTGCCCTTCTTCCTAGCAGAGACAAATGACATGAAAAAACAAAACAGTGTAAGAATCTCAAAAACTTTTCTCCATCCATAGTTTAAAATGTACAAGCCTTCACATCCATCTATGATAACTACAACAAAACCAACACGTCAACAATATCAATGGATCAGAAAACTTACCCCGCATTCATAACACTTGGATTTGTCTGTGTAATTTCTCTTTCTGATGAATTCTGTAGCTCTCCCATTGTCAATGGCGATGCTGGCCTTCACCGTTCTCCCAAACAACTGAAAGAGCAATCGAGCACGTTGGCTCCATGTGCGCTTTTTTTTAACCAGACACTTTACTAAGTCTTAATGTTATGTTAAAACAGCATACCTGTTTGTTGTTTAGCGAGCGGGCACAATTATGAGCAGTCTCTCTGTCTAGGAACAGCACAAACGCCACACCTTTACTCATCCGTGTCTGCTTATCTTTGACGACAGTCACCCTTTAGAAAATGACATTGTGACTATGATCAAGATATACTTTGATATAATGATATGAGTATAAAAATATATTCATTGCAGACCAAAGGAAACTTACTTGACAACCTTGCCATATTTCGAGCATAGCTGTGGGGAAAGTGCAGGAAATAAATTAAACAATATTTCTAAATTAAATGCAAACATTTTGTAGTAAAATAATGTAATATAGTGGGAGTAGATATCCCTTTTTCTAAGAAACTTAATCATGTATTTAATAAATTTTTAGAGAGTTCCCCACACAAACAGGGAAGTGTGTCAGATGCTTCAAGGTAAGATGTCATTTGCTCAACCAGGGGCCTATACCATAAAAGCAGGTTTAGGTGGGCCCTGGGTTTTAGGTACCATGAAAGTGGTTTGGCTTTTAGCAGTATTCATCGCCATAGTAACTTACACTCCATGGCTAACCTGGTCCGGGGCAGGTTATGTTCCAGGTAAGAGGTTGCAAACCGAACTTGGACCAATCAGCTGTCATATACAATTTCAGTTCATCAATTATTAGTACGCAGATTGTGTTTATAAAGGTAATATAAATATGCGTTGGAATCAATAAATTAAGCTATAAAATGACTATGTGAACTTAAATGTTCAATTCTCTCTATACCTTTATCAACTGTATAAAATTACTTCACAACTTTTACTTGCACTGATATAGTGAGACTTTTTATTTTAGTTTTCCTCTTTCATAGACAGTTATTTTCTTCTTGCTGTGTAAATTTGTTTAAATTCTTAATATTTTAATACTTTTAGTTAATAAGTGAATTGGAGAAATTCATTTCAATGAGTTTTGAACGAGTTTTACTCTTTCTCAGCATGTGATTGGCTTATCGCTACTGATGTCACACCTAACTACTAAACTCAGGATCAAGGCCTGACTTGACAGAGAAAGTTGATGATCAGCATCATGGTACCAACAAAGCCTGGTTGGATTTGGTTTGGTTTTGTCAACTCGAAACTAATCCTGCAACCCTGAGTTTTTTCAACTACCATCATGGTACAGGCCCCAGGTACAGGAAATTATCTTATTATCTTATTAATTATCTTAATTATCTTATTAAATTATCTATTGTCTTGTTAAAAAAAACATCAAGCAGGATTTCTACTTTAGACAGAGTACCAATAAGAACTCCTAATAATTTGATAATGGATTTTCCCTCAACATGATGTGTTAATTAAGCTTTGAGCTCAAATATAATTATATTAGTTTTAATTTTCACTCTCAAATTTCTTACCGAGATCTCCCCTATGTAATTAATGGGTTCACTTTTTGTCAGCATAATATGGTAACATGCAACAGGGTACCTTGTGCAAATCGTTGTTTGTCAAGGAAAATGGGATGTTCGACACATAAACAGTGCTTTTGCTGGGCGCTAAACCACCACTCATCTTTATATCTGATATCTGAAAAGGAAAAAACAACATTTATGATTTATCACAACATGCATGTACACAAGCAAAATATGGCTTTATGAAATATGACTAAAAAGGAGCTTGCGAGCAATTTAGTAAAACACATTTCAGACTTACTTACTTAAAGCATGTTTACGATAATGAAAATAATTGCGTTCGTCATGTCTAACTTGTCTAAAATGTAGACATTTAACCAGCAAGTAAATCCGATTCAAAATTCAGCTCAGCGTGACCCGGAAGTTAAAAAGGACGCCGCTTTCACAACATAACAGTCTCTCTCAGAAAACAAATTCACAAAATGAATTGCAACAAATATAAATTGACAGGACTCATTTAAATGCATTAAAATAAATATGCAGTGAACAATCGCATCCATTTTAATTTAGCAGTTATTTTACTAAGATCGCCAGTCATTATTTTGAAAAAAAATATTTGGTCTGGTCCCGGAAACGTGTTTTTGATATGGCTGTGGAGTTTTGTTTGTCAATGAGCTGAGTGTTTCGCCACGTTTTTGCCTAGGAAAGATAAAAAATGGTAAATTGACAGAAGATATGTCAAGCAAAGCACGTAAACGGTATGTAAACGCTTGTTTTGTGGTTACGCATGTGTTCTTACTCATTATTGGTGAAAACGGTATCGCAGAGTCTGTTTTTAAATGAGTTTATTAAATAAGAGTTTGTTTGCTGGAGGTACGTGCATATGGGTAAAAACACAAATTAATATGAATTGGAATCGATTCCTCGTGACTGTGATTTGTAGCATAAACAAACAGGTCAACGGAGCTGAGCTGTAAAGAAAGGGTCGGATGAGCGCGTGCTTTCTGTGACACAAACAACATAGGTTTCGATTACACTGAGCATTTTACTTATCGATCTAATAACCACACTGTTGAAAGCAGATGATAATATAATACAATATTTACTCTATTGTTTCAATTAAATAATAAAACGGTTAGTTTTAAGTCTAGTTACTGTGGTCAATACAGCATTTCAGCCCGATTAGCGTGTCACTCTACATCATATCGTTATTTTTTGTTGCATAGCAACGTTCTCTTAAGTCAGGAACTGTATATTTAATCGGAATAATGAGACTTAATTTGATTACATTTAACCAGTTACAATTTTTTTCAATATCAAATAACAACTCTTGCAAAAACAACAATGAACTCGGGGCCCTACAGCATTGTAAAATACATTCATGAAAAAAGGGGTTGTGCGTCGTGTAACAACGCCATCTAGCCATGAATATTTTATTTTTTTAAAACAGTTCATCTTGTATTAGAAGTACTAAAAATTCGTTTCCCATAGGTCTCTCGTATTGCGTAACTACGTTATGGGAAAATTTTCTTTTTCTCGAGAATATTGAAGCCAAATTTTTTTAAATGCAGTGTAGCTGCACATCAGACATTGGCTGTGCTGCACGAACCTATGGTGAGGCAGCTTAGACGCGTGAACCAATCAGATTGCTTGGCCCCCTGCTGCGTTAGAGCAGAATGGGCGTGGCTTTTGTCTTTATAAGCCTCCATTCAACCTAGGGATCAGAATTTATCTCCTTCATCGAACTTACCACTTTGCTGATCTCTGTATAGAAGCCTTCTCGCCACCGTCAAAAAGCCTTCAGCGGACCAAGCCACTTGCCTTGCAGTTTCTGAGGACGTTGGCTTTCCTGGTTTTCAACGGGACATCGCATATATCCTTTTAACACATTAGTGTGTTCGCCGTTGCGTCACACTTTTTCTAAATGAGCAATTTCTGAGGCGTTGTTAGAAATGCCTCGAACTACCTGTGCCTCGTGCAGGGGCCCTCTCTTTAGTGGCGATCGTCACATCCTCTGCGCTTCTTGTCTGGGCCGTGACCACGCGGAAGCTGCACTCGCTAAGGACGACTGCCCTGAGTGTGACGAGATGGATCTCCCCACCCTGCGTGCTCGACTGGCTGTTTTCGCCGATGACGACCCCGCACTTCCCGCTCTCTCTCTCCCTTTGCTCGAGCCGCGCAAAAAGAAGCGCCGCTTACAAAGGATTCCAGAGCGGACGGGTACGAGCAAGCGCACGCCGGGCCAGTCCCCGCGTGCCTCGCTCTCTCTGAGAGAATCTCACTCGCCAGTTCTGTTCACACAGGCGGACCAGTTTCCCTCTCTGCGAGCGACAGGTCTTGTCCCTTTTGGAGCACCGGACAAGGATGCTGATAAGGATGACAGCCTTTCCATCACGGCATCCGAGTGCGACAAGGGGGCGTCCTCCATTTACGGCCTCGCACCATCAACACAAGCCAGCACAAGAATGAGCATTGATGCAGAGCTTCTCCGCGTGTTAACCATGGCCGTTGAAGACCTCGGGCTAAAGTGGTCTTCACCCGAGGACCCCACGTGCAGCAAGATAGACAAGTGGTTCCTGCAGGGGCGCCGACAGGCCCCTCAGCAGAGACCCGCCCCCTTCTTCCCTGAAGTGCACAACGAGCTGACTAAGTCGTGGAAAGCGCCACGCTCAACTCGCTTAAAGCCTTCCTTCTCCTCAGCGTTCTCGACTGTAGACGGCGCTCTGGAGAAAGGCTACAAGGCGATTCCTCCCCTCGAGGATGCGGTGGCAGCACACCTTTGCCCGCCCACTGCTACAGGAGGGAACGCCAAAGCGTTGCATCCGTCTAAGCCTTGCCGTGTCACTTCATCTCTCGCTGGCCGTGCATACGCCGCTGCTGGCCAAGCTGCTTCGGCGCTTCACACCATTACTGTCCTCCAGGCTTTTCAGGCCAAACTTCTCTGCTCAATGGACGAGTCTGGACCTGAACCGCAAGCTTTCAAGGACCTGCGCAGTGCCACAGACTTGGCCCTGCTAGCCACAAAGTCAATTGCCCAGGCAATCGGACGAAGCATGGCGAACTTGACGGTGCTTGAACGACACCTTTGGTTGAATTTGACTGACATAAAGGATGCAGACAGGACAGCTTTTCTAAACTCCCCTATCTCCACCACTGGTCTGTTCGGCCCAGCAGTCAAAGGGTTTGTGGAATGCTACAATGAGACCCAGAAAGCGCCGCAGCCTATGCATCACTTTCTCCCGAAACGTTCCAGCGCTGCTTCTAGCCACCACAAGAAGGCGCAACCTCCTCAACAGGTAAGATCAGCTCCTACAGGAGTACCATAGACAGTAAAAGAAATGGACAGAGCGATCTCATTGGAACTCCATTGAGACGATTGAAGCCCGTTTTTGGCGTTTTTTTAATTTATTTTTAAAAAAAATTTTAAGCACTTCCGTCCCTGACGCGCAGACTCAAACAGAGCTTGACTACGTAGTTGTGACGAGAGCAACCCGTCTGTCTTCTAGTGCTGTGGCATGATAAATCTGAATCATTCCCTTCTGAAACATGCAGAGGTGGAGAGTGTGAGTAGGAGCTGTCCATGAGCTAGGAGAAGGAGACAATTTTGCTAGGTGTTTTGATTAATTATTTTGTCATTTTGCCTCCACGTTTCCCAGATTGCGCGCGCAAGCTTCTTCTCCTGTCCATACGGTAATCTCTCTACTGTGCGACAGAGAGTTGCGTGGGTATGACGCAATCGTTAGCCTACTTTCACTAAAACTGCTTCTACGGGGCCATAACATAAGCTACAAGGTAATGGATCATTTTATACATTGTCGTGTTTCTTTAGAAATAAATAAAGGACAAATGGGTTCTTCAAACGCCTCAGATGTAAAGTTATCCGCTGTCAAATTGACGCCAAAATGAATGGGAGTCAATGGGAATTCTAACACAAGTGAAGTTCTGCTACAAGATGGCAGCTCCCGTGAGGCTTCAACTTCCGGTCGATGGATTACCCCCTTGAGGAGTATGCATTCACCATTCAACGCCTAGTGACATCTTTTAGAGCATAGAGATTTCAGAGGATGTTGGGTCTTATGGCCTCATCATCACCATCATCAGTACTCCAGTTTGGACCTTTGGACATGCGTCCTCTCCAGTGCTGGCTAAAAAGCCATGTACCATCTCATGCGTGGCCACTTACTTCTCTATCAGTCTGGTGTAGGGATGCAAATTATCGATTAATTCATTAATCATTAGTTGATCAACCTTATTGACTAGCTCTGACGCTCCAGGGTGCCAAGCAGCCTGATTGGTTCGAACGTATGAGCTGCCTCGCCATAGGTTTGTGCAGTTGCCGCAGCACAGCCAATGACCTCTGTCTGCGGTGCAGCTGCAGTGCACTTTAAAATATTTTGCTTTCAATATTCTCGATATTCTCCCATAGTGTAAGCTAGCCTTACACAATACTCGTTCCCTCATCTCAGGGAAGCGATGTAACGTTAGTAACCAAAAAAATTGTCATGTTTTTGTTTCTATTTTCTGTTTTCTGCAAAGCTCTATATAATTATCAGTTATATTTAAAGCTTACATTTACATTTATTCATTTAGCAGACACTATCCACAGCGACTTACAAATGAGATCAATAGAAGCAGTTAAACTAACAATAAGGCAACAAAATGCAAGTGCTATGACCCTTCCCAGTTTAATCTAACACAGTAACTTGCATGTCATTATTATTATTTTTTTTATAAACATAAATTGTTAGTATTAATGGATCAAGTGTTGCCAAAAAAATATGTGTCTTCAGCAGTTTCTTGAAAATGGCCATGGAACTTAGTAGCTTTGGTTGAGTTGGGCAGGTCATTCCACCAGCATGGAACAGACCAGAAAAAATGGTTCTTATGGGCTATAAATAATTATCTGCCATACGTATTGGTCCATTCATATTTTTGTCTCATTTGTTACTAGATAACTGTCATACAACGGAAGACATCGATTTCCCATTCAGAAACTAAAAGTAAGTAATTTAGAGGAATGTGTTTTTTTTTAAGTATGATTAAAATATAATAAAAGTATTATTTAATATGATTATATTAATAAATATAAAATAGTTTTGTCAATATTATGCAGTCTTTAAAGTAATTTATTGGTGTTCTGATTGTCTAAAGGATTGTCTTTCTTCTTATTCTTTTTTTTTATTTAATACAGTTTAAAATAATTGAAGTATTGAACTTTGATGTAAAAACATTTTTAGATAACCCATGTGTAAGTTCCACATTGTTACAGTGGTTTAAATAATGTGTCTTTTTTTTTTTTTTTTTTTGTACCTCAGTGACTTTTAGGAGGGAGCGAAATATTAGAGAGATTTATGAGGACCGGTTTCATTCAGACAGAGGGGTAAATACTTATGTCATAATTTTCTTGGCCATGATCAGACATTTGGAATATGCTGTGAAAGAAAAAGCCTTGCTTGAGCTTATTTGATGTTCCAGGGTCCATTTCCAAGAGGAGCTCAAGGAGATAGGAGAGGTCACTTTGGGCGGCCGGAGGAAGACTATGGCCGTGGTGGTTTTGAATACGAAGGCTCTCGGTTTTACCCAAACGGTGCTCCTCGCAACTACCATGGAGATGATCAGAGAGGTTACCATGGAGACAGCCATCACTCATTTTCAAATGACCACAGAGGCGGGCCACCTGGTCGAAGGGTAAGCATCAAAGATCAGGTATGGATAAATCTATTTATTTTTGACTTTCTTAGTGTTAGTGTCTTTTGTGCTGTTTGCATTATAGGAATAATAATATTAGTAAAATTAATATAATTGATCTTTGATTGTCCTGATATTACTCTTTGTAATTTGTCATTGTCAAAAAATATGTAAAATTGATTGACAATAATTGTGTCGTGTATTTTCATCATATCATTGTGTTTTACATTTCAACAGGAAGACTTCCAATACTACAGAGGGCCAAGAGAGGAACTTCATGGTGGTCGCCAAATGGACTTTAGGTATTTCATGAGTACAGCTTGCCACAAAGGAAAATATGTATTATATGATGGGCGTATTCTGTATAAACTAAGCCGTTTTTTTTTGTTTTTTTTACTCTTTGGAAATTGAGGAAATACTGTTAAATGTGGTTCGAGTGAGCGTACAAAACATTTGAATCCTGTTAAAAATCTTATTTAGTGCTGATCAATTTTGGATCTTAATGCGGAGTGTAAACGGGTCAAGGGTAGGGATACCCATTAAAACTTTCCCCAGCAGATGGCAGACCTGTTCCTCTTGGAAACATACTGTGTTCCCTCCTACCTTGGCTTCCCTTCTTTCACTGAAAAGTGAAGTTTCTTAATACAGAGCATAAATCAAACTCTGAGTTGTCCTACATTCTCTCTTTTTTTTGGGGGGGGGGGGGGGTGTTTTGTTTTTTGGTTTTGCTCCCTTGGAACCACAGTCACCCACCCAGCATCCCAGTGGTTTTCCGTATGTTATAATCTGACTTTATGAATTAATCGCAACTGTTCACAGCAGGGATGGAGGGTAGCCAATTGAACTTAGTGTTGGTCCACCCTTTCTAAAAGAAATTGTCAGCAAAACTATGATGTCACCATTTAAAAGTTTTCAAGAGTATATACAAGAATGCAGTATTTTTCTTAAAAGAGAAACAGAATACACTTGCATAGGGTTTAAATTTATTTAGAGACAAATGAGGACACTGGCTAAACTGAGCATGCTGATGATGATAATATATATATATATTGCAATTAAATATTTCATTAATTTTGAACATGTGTGGCTCACACACATTTAAGTTTGTGAATATTTATATATAAAACTTGTATAAAATACCAAAAAGAATTTTTGGGCAAAACCCAGTCTTACCACTTGGTGGCGCTTTTGTATTTACTTAGTAAAGCATGCTTGTCTAAGCCTCTCTTTAAATTTAAATCAGACATTTTTAAAGATTCCTTTTTAAATAAATGTTATTTATATGGTCATATAAAGCATTTTTCTGCTAATTCATGTAATCTGGGATGTCAGACATGCTTTAAAGTACTTGTTTTGACCTTTTCAGTGCTTTAATATATTGTGATGGGTTGCGATAGGGAGTGAGAGGTTAGCCTTTTTTTGGCTTGCGGTAATATCCTGGCTTCATATTGGCAGTAAAGACAGACATGTGGTAATTTGCTCTGTTAGTCCAGGGCAGACAGGGTCACCTGCACTTCAAACAGATGTGAGGGTCATTAAAGTTTTGCGAGGTCACTGTGTGCGGACACATTGTCGTGTGTGTTTGTGAGAGAGGAACCTGGCTGGGGTTCAGGCCAGGGTCACTCGAACCAGGTGCCTGTGATTCTTTTACGTCCCGCTCTCTTGCGCGGCAGGCCATATAAGTGGCACGTAATCGGCCTGCGCGACCGGAGGGTCTTAGCAGGGAAACCGTAGTCGAGGGGGAGCAGAGTAAACTGAAGGGGGTTTTACTGCCACTAGAACAGATGTGTGTTAATGAATGTCTTGGTTGCGGGTGAACTCAGCAGAGCTGTGGTGCTGCTCTGTTAGGCAGCGCTGCAACTTTTTACAAGCCTCATTTTGCCCTCCTCTTTGTGCAGTTTAAATTGAGTTGCAATTTACAAGCAGGATGTGAAGCCTCTGGCATGGTCTTACACGTATAGGGAAAGTCTTAAAAGAGGCAGAACCCATTGTGGAGACTAGTTTAAGAGAATCTCCCCTGTATCAGGACATGGGGTGTCCTGCCTAACTAATAGTTTTCAAATAAGTCTTTATGGACATTGCTAAATCATAATTTACCCTGATTTTCTGAATATTCAGTGACCCTTAGAAGTCTTTCAACAGAAACAAAGTGAGTTCCAGTGTTGCTTTGGACTCCGTTTGACGTTGATAATATGGACAACAATTCTTTAAAATATTTTCTTTTGTGTTCTGCAGTGGATAGAAAGTCATAAGTGTTGTATATGATATTGTATGGGTCAAAAACAGAATAGATACAGAATACAAAATATAAAGTATTTATTTAGACATCTGAAATGACCATCCCAGTCACAGGGCCTGGTTCATATCAACAAGATGTCCCCACTTTAACCTCCTACTTAAACTGTCAGAGGACAGTAGGCAACTACTTGAACCACACAAACTTTGATAATTTTTTTTTTTTTAATTTAAAGTAAATTTTTGCTCTGTTTTGGTTTAGTATCTATTTAACTGTTTAATGAGAATATCTTATGATAATATTTCTTATCCATAATGTGAATGCAAATATTTGTCGTCTTTTTCCTTTCCAGACCGAGTAATCGCGCTGGTCCTCCCCCAAACGCTCGAGTCCAGGGTTCTTACCCTCCGCCCAGGGCTCTGCCAGCAATAGTCCCCGATGCAGGAGATGACAATCTCATGCAGGCCATAATGAACCTGGACCGGGGGTTTGTATTCAGACATGTTATGTAAAATGCACCATATTGTTCTACTAGGAAACGTATACTTAAAACTTGAATGTGTTTGTGCTCTGTCACAGGGAGGAGCGGGACAACTTGAGACGAAAGGCACCCTTCCCGCCAGTACGTGACCGCTCTCCAGCCCGCCGGGACGTCCCCCCTTCCCCTCACAGTCGGTCGGGGTCCAGCATAAGTAGCCGCAGCTACTCACCAGAGCGGGCCAAAGCGCACCCTATCTTGCCCCAGCAGGGGAAAAGTATGAAACCTTTTCCGTCAATTACTTGATTAGTCACTTCTTAGTGTTTCTTTGATTTTTATTAATATTACATACACACAAGTTTGGGGTTGGTGGGGTAACTTTTTATTTAAAGAAGCCTTTTATGCTCACCAACACTGCATTTATTTGTTTAAAATACAACTAAAATAATAAAATATTACTTTCAGCAGCCGTTTCTCCAGACTTCAGTGTCACTCAACAAGATTCTTCATAAATCATTTATATTATCATTTGTATTTCAAATCCTTCGCCATTTCAGTGTAGTATTTGAACTGTCATGGACTTTTTGAGACGTGGGAAGGCCTGTTGATTAATATAAAGGCTTTCTTGACTAATTTTAATATGCCAAGCTGCAAAGTGAAAAGACTATGCCTGGCTGCTTTATTCCTCATATAAACTATAGAAACGTCCTAAATGCTTCACTGACAGGTTTTATTTGAGTCGTTGTGTTTGAAAATAGACATGCTTGGACATGACTGTACCCAAGTGTCCACTGCAGATCACAGATGATGTCACTCAAGCTGTCCTATTAAAGACTCCCATCTGTGTTTGTTTCCCTGTTCTCTGTTACTATAATGAGATCCTCAGTAATAGGCTCCAGAGAGACGCTTTGAACAGCCAATATTGAATGCACATGTTTTGGTTGACATACTCCAAAAGAGAGTCTCTAGATTACGCTGTTCTAAAAGATGGAGGAGGACTTGCATGACACTGTATGATCTAACCTCTATTACTGATGAAAGAAATGCATCAAAAACACCTGAATTGTTGGTCACTAAAAATTACAGTGCTGGTACTTTTTTTTTTGTTCTTTTATTTAATGATGTACAAAAATGTTTTCCTCTCTTTCAGGATATGAGGAGCCGATTGGGCTAGGCAGAGGACCGGGTGAGTTAAACAGTGTCCTTAAGGGTGATCACAATGTTGCAAAAGTCACACCTGAATTTGAGCCTGCAGAATGCAGTACAATTCTATCATCTGTTAGGTTTAAATATGTTGCTTATTTTTAATCTATCAATAAGAGTGTTGGATTCAGTACTTTCCAAATAAATTAATTAATACAAGAGGTATGCTAGCAGACTACCGTTGAAAAGTTTGGGGTTGGTTTTTGAAAGACATCTCTTAGTGAAAAGTAACAGTAAAGCAGTAATCTAATCGTGAAATATTATTACAATATATTGTAAAAAATGTGAGTAATTCCTGTGATGGAAAAGCTGAATTTTCAGCAGTCATATATCTCCTGTCTTCAGTACGAGACACTTCATTTTTAGGATTATTTTGGCAAAAAGTTCAAAAAGTTTTTAGAAATCTTTTGAAACATTATAAACGTCTTTCATTTTCACCAATTTAATGCGTCCTTGCTGAGTAAATTAATTTCTGTGAAAAAGAAAAGTCATACTCCTGTTGAATCCTGATAAAGAAAGCTTATGGCTCACACACAAGGAGATTTTGTTTCGCTGTGCTTTATAAGTTAAAGGTCAGCCTCCAGTCACAGTAACTTAAGAGAAAGCGTTGCTAATCACACCATCGTAGAGCCTCGTTTTGTTTGTCTGCTTTCCTCTCACTTCCTTTGGCTGGGGATCGTAAAAAGTCCACAGGCATGTGTTCAAGTGTCTGATTGCTAAACCTTCCATTCTTTTCTTGCTTTTATCCGTTCCCTTTTTACTTCTCTTTGTCAGATGTTTGATAGCATGCCATGTACATCGCAAGGAGGTTTAGATTTGAGTCTTAACACAACTTCTGGTCATGGACTCCTCTCCGCTCCAAATCAATTTGGCGAGCACTCCATCTCTTTCCGAACGAATCCGTAGGTGTTGAGCCCACAGCTCACACGGAGAGGGTCACGAGCTGACACTGCAGGCACCTGGCTGTGGTTTGCCTGCAGGGAAGAGCCCTGATCAGCAGTGAGGGAACCACCTGGTTCTGCATGCCAGCTGGATATTCGGAAAGCAAGCAGGATCCGTTCCAGCATGCAAAAACGTTTACAGCACCCAATGAGTCAAGCAAGGCCATTTTGCGTGGCTTTCTGGGGGATGTTGATCTAATTCCAAACTATAGCTGCATTGTTGGCTTGCGTCCTAGAACAGATGCTTTGTTTCTTACGTTCTGATCCCAGTCTTTCATCTTCCACAGACAAGGAAAGGCCCCCCGTCCCCTCCGTGAGTGCATCACGAGATGGTTCGCCCCATAGCTCTGTATCAGTCACTAAGGTGAGTTGCGCACACACACACACACACACACAGCTCCCAAACAGATGTGCTTACCAGAACACTCCCTTTCACTCACTAAAATAATAATAAGTGTGACATGCCAGCCATTTCAGCTGATGGCAAAAAACCCACAAATCTTCTTTGAATTTCCACCAGTGACTGGAGATTTTTTCCTTCATTTTGAAAAGCTGTTTGCTTGTGCTCGCTCTCTCTCTCTCTTTCTCCTCGTATGATGGGTTTTAAAGGGTCCTGTTTGGCGCATGAAAGGCAAGTGGTCCCTGTCGTGTTTATTCAGACTGTAAGCACAGTTCTGACACAAAACACGACGGATCGCTGAAGGAGAGCTTGTGGATATCACGGGCCCACCCAGACCGCAGCAAGGCTAAAAAAAGAGGGTGAAATCCATTAGCTCAACTCTTGCCTTTATCACAAGATCTTATCGGAGGCTCAGAGCACTCTGGACATACTCTAGGGAGCTCTGAGAGCCTAAAATAAATTTGTTTCTCTTTATTTCTCATGTATTCTCCTCTTTTTCACGTTTTTTTTGTGCATTTAGGTCAACTGAATCAGTGAACAATCATGCAAAAAAGTGTTTTTATTTATTTATTTATTTTTTATTTAAATTCAAATTTAATCTCTGTGATGTATGGAGTTTTATCTGTAATGCAAGTTGAGTTATTTTACTGATTCGCAAGACATGGGACAGAACTACTTTCCTTAAGATGATTACATTTTTTCGAAACTTTTTTTATAAATGGTTTAATAATTACAGATAATTTTGTATGCATTATGTTATATGTACATTTTATCCGTTACAACTTTATTTATATATATATCACTCACAATATTTACACACTCACACAGAATATATATATATATATATATATATATATATATATATATATAAATGTGTGTGTGTGTGTGTATATATATATATATATATACTTAATTTCACCTCTGAACCATGTGCAGATGAAAGTTGTTTTTGGTTAGTGGACGTCTCAGTCCTTGAGCCTTTGATCTTCTTCCATAGCTCTGTTCATGGGGCATAAGCCATAACCTTGTGCCTTAGATGAAAAGAATTTTCCAGTGTAAACTGGGCCTGATAGGTGGTCTCTTAAGTTCAACAAACACACTAGTTTTGGGGATTCATTGTTTGAAGAACAAAGAACAGATAAAGTGCATGTATTTTGCTGTAGTGGGGTCATATTTGTTTGTAATAGCTTACCTTATTTCCTTAAATTTATATTCCTCCCCAATTAGAACAAATTATTGATATTAGTTTAAGTTTGGTTAATTGGAATGAGATGCATTTTCTGAGACAAAAAGTATCTTCACGTCCAAGATGTAGATCTAAATAGAGCCAACTTTTTTCCATTCTGTCACACAGTGATGTTCTACTTTGCCTGATTCTGTCTAGGGAAAAAGCATCTTTCTTTCCTACTTTCCTGAATGTTGTTTTCCAGCATTTATGTTATTTTTTATGGTGAACATGTTTCTGGATTATTCTAGCTTTAACAATGCCTGGTTCTGTGAACTGCAGGAGGAAATGCCATCGGTGGAAGGGCCCACAGATGAAGTTCAGGCCACTGTGGATGAAGCGTCATCCGTCATGGACGACTTTCAGGAGCGACGAGCTCAAGCTATTGCTGCCAAGGCTCGGGAAATTGAGAAGGTTTGAGAAACGCCCCTGTTGCTTTTAAACTTTTATTTCTGTAGGTCTGAGAGTATCTAAAATAGTTCGGAAGAGTATGTTGTCATTTTCGTTTTAATGCCTCCCGTTTAGATTTATTGTTAATAGGACTGTCAGAGTTAAAGAAAAAGCTCAGCTATTTACATTTGTTGGTAAATTAATGCTTAATGCATTGACAGATTAATTGCATAGAAGTTAAAGAATTTATTACGTTTTTTCCTCTCCTTTTTGGTCACTGCATCTACTAAGGATACAAGGGTAAAAAAAACACCGTCTCAGCTTTAAAATGATCATAATAAAGTTCCTGTTCTCTCCTCTTCCTCTTTACTGGCCCTATTAAATGAGAGATGGGATCCCCCAGGAGTGGTGAGCCAGCCCTCCTATTGAGCACCAGCCTAGGTTCTGACACTGCAAGATTTTAACTGTCTGCTTTTGACCCAACCTTGAGCTTTATTGGGTTATTTACTTACAGAAAAGCCATCTGATTTTTGTATGCATGGCCAAGTTTTCCTCTTCATTCATGGGAGGCTCTTTGAATCAGTTTGTTTTTTGTGTTTAAATAGCTTTTTGTATTCTCAAACGATCACTTAAGCATATTTTTCTGTGTGCATGCCTGACATATCTACATTTCTGTAATTTGTTCAGGATTTTATATTTCTTTCTGTGCTTTAATTGATGTTGAAGTGTGTTTTGATTTGCCCTGAACACACATACTTTAGTGACAGTGTGTGGATGTCTGTCAGGCAAAAGCCTGTTATTTCACAAAGTGTGAGTGGTTCTGTTTAAGTGTCCACCAGATGTTTAGCTTCTCCTTCAATCTTGTCTAGCCATCTCTACACTTTACCTTTTTTAACAAGCATTTAGCTGGCATGCTCAATACAGCATGCTTTTTATACACACTTGAACAACATACATATAAATGTCTGTGGGACATTTTCTTAAAATGTGCCAGTCAATCTTTTCCATCCAATACTATTGAACAGAGTCTAAAGATTTCAAGCTTCAAAATGCATCTTACAAGTGGCTCTGTTTGACTTGTGCTCTAGATTCCATGTCTTCTGAAACCATACAATGCCTTTGTGTGGAAAAACAAGAAATTTTAAATCGGCCCAGCTCTCCTTGACTCGACCTTAATAGTTTATGTGACAAGTCAGATCTCTGATTCGATAACATATAGTTCCAAGTTTAAACTGTTCAGTTCAGAAGCTGATCTGAATTATCCATTCATGAATGAGATGAGACTTATCTGGTTATTAGGTTCAACTCACTGATATCCCTTTTCCAAGCCTGTTCTTGAGCAGACGAAATGCGATCCGGCCATGTGTCTCCATAAACGAGGAACTAACGGTGACGTAAAGCTGCTGTCACTGTGTATTGTTTACCTGACCATAACCAGACTATAACAGTGTGCGTCCTAGTGTTTGTGCAGGCAGTGCGGCACAGTGCGGAAACTGAAACCGTTGATTCGCTCTCTCTCGTGCCGAGTCTCTCTCGCGTGTTCAGTTTTACATATTTAGATATAAAGATCAAAGTAGTGCAACATTATTATATTGATCAATGAGACTTCCATATATAGCTAAATTTGGCACCATAGAAATAGCCATATAGTTTTGGAACAACATGAGTGAGTAAATGATGAAAAAAGTTTCATTTATCGAAAAACTCTTCCTTAGTTGTAATCAATATTATTCCCTTTTTCATTTTCTAGTTGTGCTATGAACGTGAGCGTGTTCAAGTCATGCTGAAAGAGGAATCTAGTTGGGTATCGAATGTTTTGTTATGACCAGCAAGAGGTTTATTTTACAAATGAGCCCGTGTAAATTTTGAATTCTGAAAAGACTGAATTCCTTGCTGCTAAAGAACTGTAAGTAGGCCATCTTTGTTGTGATTGTTCTCCAGTCCACGGTGAGGCTTAATCTGGGTCTGAAGCTAAGCTTTCGAGGTCCTTAAGGCATGTTTGATTCCTTCGTTCTTTAATCGCGTTTGATGCGTCTGATCTGAAAATGTCAGATCAAATAAAATAATAGACTGATACACAGTTACCTCTAAAGACCATCATGGTTTTTTGCTATACTTATGTTTTCTATGCTCCTGTTCCAGAACACAGACATTAGAGTATACCTCTTTTTGCTCTTATCAATTTTTGAATATTCATCTTTAAAAAAAAAAACATTTTTTGGGATTGTAAATTAGTGCTTTGTGGTTTTTAGTGCATTTATGCTAGCTTCGACGGCATCTCTATTCTAATGTATGTACAATAAATTTAATGACAGAAACGATTCCATTGGAGAATTTCATTGCACTTAACTGATGTTAGTTGTAGCCTCCCTCCATATATTTAGTTCATATATAATCCTGGGCGTACAGCTGAATATATTGAAATACCATGCACCAAAATGTAATATTTTTTTATATAATAAAACTTTGGTCTTTCTAAAAACTATATGTGAACTTTCAGTGAACCACTCTGAAAGTTATTCGTGAATAGATACTTTCCCACTTTTCCCTCCTTGTCTCTCCCACCCTTCCTGAATAATTCTCTGCTATCTTTACCCGGAATCAGGAATCAGACTCCCACAGTACAAAAATGACACATGAAAGGCTGAACAAGAACACACACACACTTGCGTGGTCCTGTTCAGCCTTCCTTTTTGATTGGGTAACAGAGGTGGGGTTCACAGGAAGTGTATGGAAATAGAGCATGCTCTAGGAAATCGCTTCCCAGCATTCTTGGCATTGTTATGAATTATTTAATCTTAGTGTGGTTTTAGTGGCTTATGTTTCAGTGTTCAAGGTTATAAAACAACTCATAATAGGACACAGCAAAAGGTGTTCAGATATTTGTTCCTAGAATTAGATTCATGAATCACAACTGATGCTGTTAAAATGTAATTCTAAGCCTAGAAGTCTTTTATACTGTATTCAGATGGCATTGTGAATTACATTCTAGGCCACACATGTAGTTGTCGGTCTTTTCTCTTAAAAAAAAAAAAGTTATTCATGGTAAGTTTGTACTGACTTTATCTTGTGTTTCCATTTGCAGGTCCAAGACCTGTTACTCATATTTGGTTACAGATTTAAACAAACTCTTAACCCCAAAGTATTAGCAGAATTTGTACTGCAGGCATAAATGACACTTCAAATCACGTGGTTTGTGGAGACACTACTTGTGCTATTATTGGTCCCAACAATCCGGCTAATATAAATCCCATAGATTTTAAGGACTCAAACCATACTGGCTAAAGGTCTGGTCATATTTACCTTGCAAATGTTATGTAAGGGTGAAACATTTTCCCACACGGATTTCTTGTTCAAGTTTTTCACACAGATTCAGCACATTGACCAACAGAATGCTGCTTGGTTTTGGTTTGACTTCTATGTGAGCTGTGCTTCTTGCGTTGTATGCTATAAGGTTTATTGGCTGAGCGTTAATGCAGTTTAAACAGTCACACGGATTGACTTTGTAACTGCAGTCTCTTTTAACGCGCAGCCTCGGGTTACAGTGAACTTCCCTTTCTACATCATTTATCCATTCTATTCTGGAATGTTCTAATTGACTTTTAGAGTCTTCTCATTGAACCTATTTGACTTAATGAGTATTAGAGGCAGTTCTCGCACAAGAACTCTGTGGGCTTTGTGTGTGGGCCTCTGTGATTCCTGGAACCAGGTGATCTCATTTTACTAGTACCTGACTCAGCCATGGGAAAGAGCCCATGTGAAAGCTAATGAGGAGCTCACTGCTAAAATTATTAGTCAGCACAATTAGTTGGGTGGGCACATTTCTTAGACCTAGAGGCATGTAGTGGGAATCACTGAGGATATGAATTGTCTTTCTATTATGATTATAATGCCCTTTTTTTGTTATATTTTAAGTACTTCCAGATGTTGTCATTTTGAGCCATGTCAAAAGCTATGTTGAGATCTTAAACCAGTTTCAGTTTATTTTAGTTCAGTTGGGTGCATTGTGTTATGTACCATCGTAAATTCTTGAAAATCTGATTTTATATCGGTCTCCTGATGTAAATTTCAAGATAGGATCTTCAGCTATAAGTTACATGTCCTAAGGGCTGTGTTAGTGAAGGTAATTGCAGAGGTTATGCAGACTCCCCTGGGTCTGAAGCATTGCTTTGATGTCCAGAAGTGTTTGATTATCCAACCACAGTAAACATAACTGAGCTCTTAGAGTTTTGGTTTGGGGCTTTGTACTATCGTCTGGATGGTAGATCAGAAAGGCAGAACGTTCACCCACATACACAACAAAACCATGCTCTATATCCTCTGTGAACAGAAATAGTTAGATTAAAAGTTGGATGGTTCTTGAGACCATGCTTTGATTGTGCACGCAATGCATTTGCCAAGTAAAATACAAGCACAATACCATGGGCCAGCAGGTGCAAAAAAATTTATTCTTGAGCTCCAGGATAAACTTTTTATTTTCAAAGAAATTGTCTGAAGGGATATTGTCTGAAGGCATATGAAGGGATGTGTGTTTCTGTGTTGGTTAGAAAACCAAATGGAAATAAAAATCACACACATTGCACTTTTAACTTTCTTTACAATACCTTTTATTTCAAGTTCCTTTTTTGGAAGTGGCTAGACATGAACATATACTGGAATGTGGTGATTTGGGATTGCCCATTGACATTGGAATGCACACACTCCTCATTTTAATGCAGATGCATACATTTTCTTAAATCATCCTGTTGGACATTTTTGCTGCATTATAATTTAAAACATTGGGCTATGTGTTGTATAGGTCTATCGCCAGGACTGTGAGACGTTTGGCATGGTGGTGAAGATGCTTGTGTCCAAGGAACCCACCTTAGAGAAGCACCTGCAGAACCCACTAAAAGAGAACCTGGTTGAGATCCGTGAGCGATGCCTTGCGGACTTGCAACACTTCATTGCTGAACTCGATGAGGTGGTTCGACAGCCTGAACCTGCTGTCTAAGGTGGCTCCATTTTACTTGGCCAGCAGATTTGTTGTTTATCTCTGAACCTACATGAGAGTCCTTCATTGTTTTTATGACTTATGTAAAGGCTATTGTACATTGTGTAATCCAGTGTCCCCCTCAAAGAAATCTTCCAGGGGCAAGGAAAATCTCTTTATATTTTTCATTTATGTAGTCCCATTTATCCATTGATGATAGATTGTATAATCTGTTTGTAACCTTTCAACATTGAGTAATACAAAAAAGATTGCAAACACAAGGAACTGAATGCCAGAAGAGGATTTGCTCTGTTCCTTATTTGTTGCAGAAGCTAAGGAGGTTTATTAACCCATTGAGGAGATAATGCTTGTCCTGATCAATTATGTATAAATTGAAAGGGTTCTATGTTGTCGCCAATTAAATCACTTAAATTCTTTCAGAGCAATGATAAATGTTGATGAATGAATGATGGCAAGTAATCTTTATGGGTTCAGTTCATTTCGGCTATCTGTAGTACGGTTAAGCTGTGCAGCTGAAAATAATGCATTTTCATTTTATTTCTAAATCAAATTTTCCAGCCTCTATATTATGAAGCCCAACACAAGTATTTGTGTAGTTTTTTCTTTGTATAGTATTAAAGAAATTGTCTTGGAGTTATTATAATGCATGTTTTTTTTCCTTTTGATTTAATACACCCTTTTTGTGATCACATGTTAGCAATTAAATAAAGTTGTCTTTAATAATCAAACATATTTTGTAGTTTTCTTAAGCAGTCAGTGAATAAATGAAAAAAAAAAATCAAGTTGCAAGGGAATATTAAGTCTCTCTTGAATTTATTTTATTGACATCTTAATGTTAAAAGGGATAGTATGGTTACGTGTGGTGAAATGTACATAGTCGTGGGAAGATTACCCCCACACTGTTTAAGCGCATAAGCAAATTGTGGACAGAGAAATGTTCACGGGTGCAGTTATTACACCCGCAGAGTAATGTAACAAGACCATCAAACTTGAATAGTGCATATATATTTTGCATTTGCAAACCCCTGGTCAAAAAAAAAAATGGCAGTCCTCAATTTTGTTCATTAATAATCATAAAATAAAATAAAATTCTGAGGCCAGCAATTGTAATTAATCATTTAACATATTTGGATATAAAAATATCAGTATTCCAATCTTAATTTAACAAATATACATTGCGTGCACTATTAAATAATTATTCAGTTAGTCTACATGCTACCCAGTAATTTTGCTTTTGGGAATAATGCTTTTGCTATACAATGTACATGGAAATATTAAATGTTGCTTTCATTGTTCATATACCAGCAACACAACTGACACTCTCCAATTGTAAAGACAACTTAAACTCAAGAAAAAAAAAGTTTTGTTGTACAGCTTCTTTAGGATCAGTTATGTTAATGTTCCAGCGGCAACATGGGCATGCTTTCAGTCTCAAGTCTAAGAAATTATGCAGTTTTTGCCCTTGTGACCTTTCTTTTTCAGTTTGGTCCGTGTTCCGAAAGGAGGTGGTAAAGCGGTCACGCGAGTTGGATAGTCCTCTGTATAATAATGAAAGCTTTGGGATCGGGGCTTAGGAATTGGCTGGCCAAGAAAGAACCCCTCCTCCTCAGACTCTGATGAGGAGGAGGAGCATGTCGAACACCAGTCGTCGTCATCATCATCATCATCACAAAAGTCTCGGAAGTGGTCTTTTCTAATCATGCCCTGCTGCGCAAAGTCTGATGTGGTTTGATGATAAGGGTGCTGACTGTGTGCCGAGTGATTTAGAAGAATACCATTCCTGGGTTCTGGTATGCTTGAGCCAATTACCTGAGGCACAACATGCAATTTACCCCGGTTTTTGGAAGGCAGGTGCAAGGCGTTTTCTGAACGTGTTTTCCGGCCCTGTCTGCGTTTGTGGTGATGTCTGTTAGCAGGACGTCTCTGCGTATCCTCCTCCATGTGATAAGTCCGTCTTTGGGTCCTCTCACTCATTGGTGGTTGCCTTAAGCCTAGTCCGCCATAATATCCTTTATCCAAAACATCATCAGAGAACTTCACTTGCTGGGGTCTGGATTGGGTCTGAGATTGAGACTTGGTCCTTCTCAGCACTGGAAGATGCAATGGGGAGGGTAGTTCCTCTCCAAAATAGGGTGGAATTCGGTCCTCCTCTTCCCTGTCTTCTCTCCCTCCTTGTTCCAGTTTCTCATCTCGGCCCAGCTCAGAGTTTAAACTCCTCAATGAATTAGCACTTCTGTGGAGCATTGAGGAGTTAAGTGTGCCCATGTTACTAATGTTATCACACTCTTCCATCTCTCTCTCCTGCTCTTTCATGTTTTGGAGGGAGTAGATGGTCTGTCTGTCTTCTCTCTCTCCATCCACTGAAGCTCCTGAGAAATTAAAGATACGAGTAGTGGATTAATTTAAGAAGAGATGAGAAATGCATGACTATGATAGAGACTGTTTGAAGATGTTCCTACCTGTAATATTTGAGAGAGCTAGAGAATCCATAGAATCTCCAATATTGGGTTCTGCCTTCCGGAGTTCACTTGTAATGCACTCCAGTGAGTCTTCATACCATTGCCTAGGCTCAGACCAGAATCCAGGCACTGCTCCCTGATCCATCTCCAGCTCTTGAATCTTTCTAGCACTAGCTGGGCCAGGGTGACTACCGTAGGCAGAGTCTCCAAGTCCATCCTGAGACTGGGCCCAATACATTTCGGTGTGGTGCTTCTTATTTGACAAACTGTGGCCGCTGATTTTCATCTCTGGTTTGGTCCTGTTGATCTCAGAGTCTTTCATCATCCATGGCTCGGCTGGCCTGGTGTCCTCCATGTGGATGACACCACGGTCTCCAAATTTCAGGAGCAGCTGTGTCATATAGTCCTCGTGCTCAGCCCAATCTTCCACACTGTCCTCAGGTGCTTCCTGTTCATCCCGGTCTCTCCAGTAGTTGTCCTCTGCCAAGTTGATTCTCTCCAACTGATTACACATGGTCTCTGTGTTGTCACCACAGAAACTAGAGGTCCTGCAGTCTGTCGCTGAATAGAGTTTTGTCTGCTGGCACTGCTCTGTAGGGCGACTACTCTTGCCCATTCGTATGCTACGCCTAGATTCCCGTGATCTGGCAGACTGAAAGGCTGAATCTGAAGAGTCAGATGCGTGGACATCCTCACCTAGGCTACAGTCCTTGGAGCAGTAGATCCGACCCTCTTTTGGAAGGAAGGGACAGCCCAGCAGGGAGGTTTTGCATTGGGCACAACAGAAGCATTTGGCAGTAGCATGCCAGTGTACACCCTCATATGTCATTTGAGCATGGTCGACACCTGAAAAAAAGTAAATTTATAGAAGTGAGAAATGCTGTACTTTTTCAAACAGATATGCATACAACAGAGGTGTCTAATCCTGCACCTGGAGGGCGATCTTCCTGCAGAGGTTTGCTCCAACTCCAATTAAACAAACTTAAAATGGCTAATCGAGGTCTTCGGAAAAACTCTATACTTTCTAGCACAGAGGTTCCCAAAAGTCTCTATACCAGAAACCGACACAAAAAATTGGGTGAAAAATTTAGCCAAGTGACTTTGCGCAACCCGCCTTTTCCCACTGTGCGTCCCACAAGTGGGTTGCAACTCATAGTTTGAAAGCCCCTGTTTCTAGCAACTATGTTGGACTGAATTGGAGCTAAACTCAGCAGGAAGATGGCCCCTCCGGGTGTAGGAATGGACATTCCTGCCATACAAGTTCAGTTCTTACTGAGATAACTCACCAATATTCTCCCCACAGGCCTCGCAGTATTCTGCATACAGTGACTCAAAGCATCCACAGCAGAAAGGTCGGCCATCCTTCATGATGTATCTCTGTCCTCCCAAAATAGTCTCGCACTCAAAGCAAGAGAAATGTTTCATGTGCCAGTGACGTCCCTCAGCTTCAGTACACTCATCGGCAAAGATTATCTGAGAAGAGAGAAAATTTTTGAAATTCTTCTTGGCCAATTCTCTCTTTGTGTAGTGGCTCTTTAGAAAAGGATTTACATCCTCACCTCATCACAAGCTGAACACCGTGGCTTCAGAAGCTCTGCATGATGTCTACCACAGTAGATTTTGCCACTGTGGTAGAAATAGATGAGGTCTACCACAAGTTCATGACAGGTGGAGCAAGTAAAGCAGGCTGGGTGCCAGCACAGGCTAGGACCTGCTCGTGAAGCAAACACTGCCATCTCTCCACCCTTGATGTTCTCTTTGCACTGCAATTCAAAGTAAGATTTTATGAGAATCAAGGGCAGGCATATGGCTGCTTTAGTCATACAGTTATCTTACATTGTATTGAATCTTAGTCTTCATATTTCTTCGGAACAGAGACATTAAGTTTTAATTAAAACGGACCCCCATATCTGTTGAAATGGTCTTCTAAAGATCAACTGAGCATGGCCAAATGCATGATCATGAGTTTTTTATAAGTACTTTTGCCAAAGTATTCATTTCACAGCTGCTTCCCATTATTACTACATGGCCGTTGGCCTTGGAAACAGGGGTGTTGAGTGTCCCGCAAATTTTTTCGGCAACGGAAACCAGAGACCCAAGATTAGCACTGCTCTGCAATGTCGTGTGTGGCAATTTGTGGTGAAGGGATACATCTGTTTTTCTGAGGTATTATGATGCTAGTCTTTTTTGCTTTGTGTTTATAGTCTTCTCAACAGGAAACAACCCTCTGCTCTGGCTCTCATGTGCTAACTCCAGCCCCTGAAGGAGATGGTCTTCGGCCAAAGACTGTGTGTTGTAATACTTAATCTTTTCCATGAATTTTCTCTCCGCTTTGGTTGTCTTTAGGCCATAATTGGGCCATTTGCATGATTCCAAGTTGTCTGATTTGCCATGACAAGTCAACATTGCTTCCAAGGGAATGTAGCATGAAGCAGAAACTTCATTTTCATGACTGTAAGTAAATTTGATATGGCCTGAATTAATGGTCACAGAGACGACTACAGATATTCCAAGTGTGGCAGTTAATCAAATGACCTTTAGGAGTTTTAATGTGGCCTCTTGTGCACTACCTTCAACTTGGATATTTTTAGATTTCACTAGGATTTCTACAGATTGTGGGAAAAAGAGCAGGAACATTTATACATACATGCTCACAAGTGTGCTGCAGGGCTCTGGGAAGCAATTTTGGGGTTCCCCTCCCGAGTGCCTCTTTTTTCCTCTGAATGCTGAACATGTGGAGTTCTCGTCTCTCCTCGTCACTGAGGGATTGACAGTATCGGATCTGTGTTGAAGCAAAGGTAAAAAAATGTTTTTGTTTATTTTCCTAAATGAAGAACAGATGGATTGCTGCAGAAAGTTTTATCAAAGGCATGATGCCAAAGTCGTTTCAGTTTTCCCACTTTTCTGGGGCTAAGTTGAAAAGTACACAAATCAAAGAGTTTACAGCAGACTTGTGGAACTCATACAAAAGACAAATAATTTGCTCTGTTTGGCCCTGCAGGGGGCTAAACAATGATACCACACGTGAAGAGCTTTTTAGATCTGTAACCCGCGGTCATGCCAGGAATTTGCTAAAGTAAACAGTTCCAGGTCTTACAGCAAGCACCATAAAACATTTTATTGCTGCTAGTGTAAAGGAGAAAGATGTCCCTCTGTGATGCATACCACTAAAACATCTTTATATGCAAACTCGAGAGAGATTTGTATGAACATTTATCTGCAAGATCATAAAGTCCTCTAGTAAAACCTTTGTGTATTGTAGCAGCATA